GTAATAGACATTTGCACATTCTCAATAACAGTGATGCTTGTCACTCCTGTAACACATCCAAGTCTCACAAACTTGGATTTGAACACTCTTCTAACCGACAATCTTCTATTCTTGCGCTAATTCATTCGGACGTATGGGGTCCGGCTCCTGTTGAATCTAATACCGGTTACCTATACTACATTATATTTGTCGATGACTACTCTAGATTTATGTGGCTCTATCCCATGCGACGTAAATCAGAGGTCTTTAGCATATTTACTGAATTCAAAACAAATATTGAGAACTTTACCTCCTAACGCATCAAATGGATTCGTACAGATGGGGGCGGTGAATATTCGAGCACGGTATTTACGCATTTTCTTAAACAACACGGAATATCTCACCAATCATCTTGTCCCTATACGCCTCAATAAAATGGCGTCGCAGAACGGAAACACAGGCACATAATTGAAACAACTCATACAATGATGACCACGGCTCATGTTCCTTACATTTATTGGCCGGATACGATGATTACTGCAACCTATCATATAAATTCTTTACCTTCGGTTAACACTAACAATATTTCTCCCATGGAACTGTTTTATCACAGGAAACCCACCTACAACAAACTCAGAGTTTTCGGATGCGCATGTTTTCCATACATCCCATCCCAATTTCGGCACAAACTGCAACCCAAAGCAAAATTATGCGTTTTTATGGGTTATTCGCACAAATCCAAGGGTTACAAGTGCCTAGACAGAAGTACTAATAAAATCATTATATCAAGAAATGTAAAATTTGACGAGAACTCTTTTCCCTTTGCAGATACTGGATTGACTTCATCTCAAACCACGCAGGATCTGTCACCTCTCTTTTTAACTCCTTTAGCCACACTACAAACAGACACATCAAATAAGACAACAAAATCTTCTACTTCTCAGACACCGCCTCAGCAGACTCTTCATGATGTTTCATTAAAGCCACCATCGGCCATTACTACTATGCATATCACTGCCGAGCATACTAGTTCTGAACTACCGCACCAGGGACATTATATGCAAACTAGGCAGAAAACCGGATCACTAAAACCACGGGTCCGACTTAATCTTCTGCACCAAACCTCTACTTCATCTTCCCATCAAACTCCTTCATCATTTCATGAAGCAAACAAGCAGAAAGAATGGCGTGAGGCCATGTCATCCGAATTTTTTGCACTACAAACTCAATGCACCTGGAGCCTTGTTCCATGTCCAAAAGACAAAACAATACTCGGATGCAAATGGACATATCGGACGAAGCTTCATGCAAACGGGTCTATTGCCCGTTACAAAGCTCGGCTCGTTGCTCAAGGTAATCATCAGGAATTCAGGATTGATTACACGGAGACATTCAGTCCAGTAGCTAAACTACCAACAATCAGGATCCTTTGAACAATAGCTCTTCACAACAATTGGCATGTTCATCAACTCGATGTGGCGAACGCATTTCTTCACGGTAGACTCAACGAAACAGTCTACACGCGTCAACCAATTGGTTTTGAAGACAACACATATCCGAATCACGTCTGCCTTCTTCATAAAGCCATATACAGCCTTAAACAAGCACCCCGCCAATGGTACAACACCTTCACCTCGCATTTGGAACAAATTGGTTTTCTCCAAAGCTCATCCGATCCTTCTCTTTATACCTTCCGCAAGAACCACATTCAATTATTTTTGTTAATCTACGTTGATGACATACTACTTACGGGAAATGATACACAAGCTATTCATCACGTTATGCAAATGCTACACAACAAGTTCACCATGAAGCATCTCGGCGAGGTACATTCGTTCCTTGGTATTCAAACCACACATACTAATGATGCATATTTTCTTTCGCAGTCAAACTACACAAAATCAATTCTTCAAATGGAAAATCTAAGCGATTGCAAACCGTTGGCTAACCCAACGTGTACAAAACTGCCCAAAGATTTCTCACCGGATGCTGCGATGTCCGACCCGTCAAACTACAGAAGACTTATAGGGTCATTGCAGTACCTAATCCTAACTCGACCTGACATCGCGTATAGCGTGAATATTCTGTCGCAACATATGCATGAACCCCAGCCTCAACACATCTACTTGCTCAAACGGCTGCTTCGTTATCTTCAAGGTACGATCGATTTTGGTATTCCCATTACGAAGTCTAATCTATGTCTTACCTCATTTTTCAGATGCCGATTGGGCGGGCGATCCAGTATCTAGGAAGTCTACCTCAGGCTACTGCTCCTTTCTTGGGAATACCATCATCTCCTGGACAGTCAAGAAGCAAACTACGGTGGCTCGATCATCCACAGAGTCCGAATATAGGGTGCTAGCAGCGCTAACAACGGACATTATCTGGCTCAGACGTATTCTCAGTGACTTTGGAGTTCCTCAATCAACTTCTACAGATATCTATTGTGGCAATACTTCGGCTATAGCCATAGCCAATAATCATGTCTTTCATGCATGTACAAAACACATAGAAATAGATCATAGATTCATCCGAGATCATATTCACCAACACACGATCCTCATCATTCCAATCAGCACTATAGACCAACCGGCAGATATTCTAACAAAATCTCTTTCTACTCCCCGCTTTCACAAACTTCGCAACAAATTGACATTCATCGACCGATCATCAATTTGCGGGGGCGTATTAGAGCAACAGGAACCAAATAATTAGTTTGTATTTTCATGTTGCCAAATGTACGGTTGCTTGTATGACACAGTTATAAATAGGGTTGTAGTTATGTAATGAAAGATAATGAAATAACATTTCCTTTTTCTTCCCTGTTTCTTCCGTTCTCTGTTCTATCTCACTGTGTCTCTTGATCTACATTAATGATTCAAGAAACTTGAATCTTGTATTTCTACACACATAACATGCAATTTTGCTTGCAATCAATACCTCTCATATTCAGATTTTTAGATGTTTTGAAGACATTTAAGCATATCTTCCACATATATAAAAAAAATCTCAAAAAATAATTTTTAGACTCTACTCAATCCAAATAGATTTTTCTTAGTAATCAAGAAAATGAGAAATTACTCTGTGCGATCACAGAACAGTCCGGAGACGGATCATGATACGTCATATCATCCGATACATAGTAGTACACAATACCGATACACATCTAGAGGTGTCAATATTTGACACAACACGAAAACCTGACCCGAACACGACCTGGAAGAGCACACCAGCATCCAGCCCACGGGCAGTCGCGCCCACTTCCCAAGTCGGGTCGGGTTAACCCGACAATCCGCCGGGTCGGGTATGGGTTCGGATTTCCGACCCGTTTATCTTTCCGGGTCGGGTTAGGGTCTACCCGTTTGAACACGGGTCAGTTCCGGGTTCGACCCGAACCCGACCCCAACCGGTGACCCAGTTTTGACACCCGTATACACATCTAAAAGTTGAAGTGACGCGTTCTGTTTTATCTCCAAACAGTGCCGATGACCACACATAATAATTTCATAAAAAGAGAGGCTTTCCCTATTATTTCAGGATATTTTATAAACATAATCCATATAAACTTAAGACCCAATAAGAAATTAGAGTACTTACCAATTATTAAACTTAAAAGATGTGTCTTACCAATTATTAAACTTAAAAGATGTGTCAGATATTATTATATTCATCATCAACATCCACACAGCAACATGATGTCCCCACTTGCTGCTCCTCTCTTTTTGACTCCATTCTCTTCAATTATGTTCCAGCTAGGATTTCCCAACCTCTCTACAAATAATGTAATTTGATTTTGCACATAAATTATTTTTTAATGAAAAAAAAATATTTTCTCTGTTCAGTTAATTAATCACATAATTTTTATGATCACAAAATTATAAATTTAAATGTAGTTAAAGCATATACCACCTTCTATTTTCTCATAATTTAAATTAAAAAAATATTTTGATTTGTTGTAAAATATTTGTGAGACCCAATGAGAACATGAGAGTACTTTCAGAACAGCTAAATTTATAATTCAGACCTTCACTTTCTCCCTCCTTTCAAGATGCTTAAAGTATCTTAACATGCAGACAGAAGCATGCTGCCCCACTTCCAGTTGTTTGCTTTTGGATCCCACTCAGCTTCCTCTTGATGTAAATTGATTTTGCACATGTTACAGGATTACAAATTTACCAATCAATAAAATGTTTTGAATATGTTTGAAATCTGATATGGTCTTCTTATTAGTTAAATCAATTTCAGCTTAAGGAGAAATTATTTTGTGCAGAGTTCGGGCGGGAAGAACAGTTAGACATATGAGTGTACACAATGTGTATTAATTTTTTGTACGTATTATTTGTACAATGTGCACACTCATAGTCCGGACGGTTCTTCCCATTCGAACTCCACATAGAATATTTTCTCTAACTTAAGCGGCTATTTAGTAGCACCCAGGATTACATTTAAATAGAATTTCGTAAATCATACGAATCCGGATTTACGAAATCCCGGGAGGGTTAAATCCTGAAAACTATTTGGTAACATTCATGATAAATTCTATGTGACTATTTGACTATAGAGCGTTAAATCTTGAAACGAGCGGACTCTTTGTCCCTCTCGCGCCAATAGAGCGTTAAATCCATCCAATCAGAAAATTTCGGAACTCCAGGATTTACCATGAAAAGGGATAATTTTCCGTCTAACGCGGCTTTCATTTACTGTGAGATTTGATTTTGCATTTTAGGCCATTTGGCTGGATTTCACTCAAATCCGCTTTAAATCCGGCCTAAATCATGCTACCAAACAGCCCATAACAGTAATTTATCGAGCTACTACGTCTGAGTGGAGCTTTATTCCGGAGATCTTTGAGAGCATTTTTTTTTTAATCCTTCCAAATTCCTTACACTGTGTCAAGTATGTAGTCTGCCATTGTCCAGCATTAAAACCCAGCTGTCAAAGCTACCAGATCTATGGAAGTCACAGTATAATAAATACAGACCAGTCCAGCAATATTCTTCCTCATTCGGTCTCTTAGTACACATTTCAAATCCACTTTCACTTCCTTTCCTCTTATTTCATTTTTATTTTTTCACTGCAGAATCGAAGAACAACTCAAATGGCCTCTTGGCTATCTCCATTTGCTCTTGTTCTTTGCCTTCTATCATCCATGGCTTCCTTTTCTGATTCAAAAGCCTTCTCCTTCGATGACAACTTCGTTATAACTGGAGCAAAAGACAACTTCAAAACCTCTCCTGATGGTCAAGTATGGTACCTCTATCTTGATCAACGAAAAGGTATCAACTAACATTTTATGCTTCAAACGAAGATTTCTATGAGGAGTTTATTGAAACTTGTTGATCAAAATAGGGTGTGGATTTCAAACAAAGCAGAGGTACAGATTCGGTTGGTTCAGTATGAAGCTGAAGCTGGTTGGTGGAGATTCAGCTGGAGTAGTGACTGCTTATTATGTAAGTGCGTTTCTGAAATCTGATTTATGAACTTGGTTTTAGCTTTTTTGAAAGCCGAGCCATTTGGGATTGCAGATGTGTTCAGATTTGGATGCTGGGTTGTAGAGAGATGAGCTTGATTTTGAGTTTCTTGGCAATAGAAGTGGGGAGCCATACACAGTTCAGACCAATCTGTATGTGGGAGGAGTGGGGGGAAGGGAGATGAGGCATATGCTTTGGTTTGATCCTACTGCTGATTTCCACACTTACTCAATTCTTTGGAACTATCATCATATTGTGTGAGTAGTATATCCTTACTTGACCGTTATATTTGAATTTGTTTCAGATTTGAATTTGAAGACTAGATCTGGTGATCCAGGTTAGTAGTTGTAAAGACAATAGAAATAACAACATGAATTAAAGATTTTCTTTGTAGTTGCAGGAAAAAAAAGGAGTACAGTCTGAACAGGAATCTGGATCTAGTTCTTAACTTGATTGGTTTTGCACCAGATGATCAAAGAATTTTGGTTAAAAGTAGGATTTAGTCAAGAAGGATTTAGTAAATTTTGTAAATTCTGATTTAGAGGGATTGAATACTGTAAAATATTTGTCATGATAGATGTTTAGGGGGTGTTTGGCTATAAGCAGGATTTAGGCCTTCTCCAACCGATCTCCAAACACATGAATGACGTCCCTCGCGAGCTCCACCCGAATGACAAAACTTCCGGTATTAGCGTCGAATTGTTCACCTGTGTTATTTTTCGGTCACTACCGGATTTGCCGAAGAAACGTGCGAAAGAGGAGAAAGACGGTTACCTTCTACGAAGGGCGCAAAATGGAGTTCGATTAGAGATGAATCACGCCATTTTTTAGTTTCAGTACATTTTAGAGTGAAAAATGAGATTTTCGGTTGGAGATGCCCTTTGTAAATAATGTTTGATAAATTTTGAAAGGATCAAAAGCTGTGACAGCTATTAAAATTTTGAATTTCTCTAAAGATTATTTGGCAAGACTTAGCCTTAATTCCAACTAAATTTTAAATAAAACTTGCAACCAAACGGCCTCTTTATAATGTCGAAATCCTCATCTCCCCTGCACCAAAACTTGCAGCTTCTTCGTGGACAGAGTGGCCATAAGAGTGTACAAAAACAACGGTAAACTGAACAGCTTCTTCCCAAATGAGAAGCCAATGTACATATTCTCAAGCATATGGAACGCCGACGACTGGGCTACCAGAGGAGGCCTTGAGAAGACAAACTGGAAGAACTCACCCTTCGTTTCAACTTACAAAGACTTCAGCGTCGATGCCTGCCAGTGGGAGGACCCTTACCCTGCTTGCGTATCAACGACGACCGAGCATTGGTGGGATCAGTATGCGGCTTGGAGCCTTGATGATAATCAGCTTGAGGACTTCACCTGGGTGGGAAGAAACCTTGTTATTTATGATTACTGCAGGGATGCTGAAAGATACCCAAAGTTGCCTGAAGAATGTAATCTATAGAGTTGTTATAATTTGTGCTGTTATGATGAGTTGAGTTTTGATTCATGATCAGATTTAGATTTTATTTGGGACGACTTTCTTACTGCTTCTTAAACAAATTCTGTTTGATTAAATTGCAGAATTTAGTCAATTTCAATCAAATGTAACCATCCTGAATTCCACAATGAACTTAAAGCTATTCTATTCAAGGATTAATCATTAAGAATGCTTTTCAACCAATAGTAGAAAGTGAAAGAGACGACACAGCAGAAGATATGAATACAGCTTATAACATCAATAGATCAAAGAAGATTGCACATTTATTTCCCTAAGGCAATACGACATTTCACAGGCAAGGTTGGTTTGCTCGTAAGTGGTCCAAAGTGGCAGAAAGTAACTTTGGAAAGTTTTTTTTTTTTCCATTTTTTTAAACTGTAGAATAATTAAGAGAGATGTAATTGATTGTTACAACTTAAGAGTAAGGAAATTAAAAAAAAAAACTAACATATAGCTGTAACCCAAAAATAGCAACAAGACTAGGCAATAAAAGATAGAAAAATTTAAACAAACAGCCAAAAGGATGCTGAAAAATAGATGAAACAAGGGACTTAGAATGGCCAAAAATACATCCTTTTCTTTTTTTCAGAATGTTAGGGACTTAGAACTTGAGCCTAGCGGGAGGAATTCTTTCGCGTCGACTAATGGGGCTGCATGCGCGAGCTCAAAATACATATCAATCATCCAAAATTTATCAACAAGAAGAATACGCCCCTGTTTGCCAAAAACAGACTGTCCAAGAAGCAATAGTTTGTTGCCGATAATGCCATCTAAGGAGCCAAAAAGGAGATGTAACCATTCATCATAATCCACAATCATCCACGAGCGGCACCAAGTAGCCAAAACACATAAAAGAATATCAATCTTGATTAGAACTAACACTCATCATGACCATATATGAGCATAATGTCCCAGAAAATAAAGAACTCTCGGGGGGACTGATTCACATGAGTTATAAGGAGTACATTAATTGAGAGTTATAATGGGCAACTGATTAAGAGTTATAAATGCATAAGAAAGATACACTAATTGAATATTTGAATACTTATAACGACACTGCTACAAACATTGTACTGATATTGTGACTGACACTAATATTGTTTACTATCATCACCGATATTTAGAATTATTGATCATTATACTAATATTGTTATTAATATTGTAATTGATGATGTAATGGATTGAGATGTCATGAACTATAAAATGATAAATTGATACAATATAGACATTAATGCATATATTTTTTATATGATTTATAACATATTATTCTCTTTTATCTTGCATTGATTTTAGTTGTAAGATTTTAGTTACTTGTTGGACTATGTGTTCATTACATGGTTTTATATGCTTCAAGAAAATGGTAAGAATCCTATGATATGAGGCTCCGGATAATACAAAAATACAATCATATTTCTTTTTGATGTTCATTGGTAAGCTCTAATTAAATGATTAAAAAGAATAACATATGCAATTCTTTCAATATAGATCCTAGAGTATAACACTTGTCTTAAGCTAGATGCCGATATAAAAAGCCTTCAAAGCTCCATTGATGCAGAACGAGAAATGCATATTCTCGATGCAACCTTTGATCTAAGAAAGAAAAATAGGAATACCTTTTGAGCAAGCTGAGACAACAAGAATTCCTTAGAGACATAATAAAAAAAAGCTTTGAGGATAGCTAACTTAGCACACAAATATTTCTTTTTAGCAAATACATTAAAATCCATCGGCAAATTAACAAGCAATATATTATCAGTAGAAATTCTCTGATGAATAAACCCAGTTTGGCTTGGGTGGATTATATGGGGCATAATGTGCTTCATCATGAAGGCTAAAATTTTAGTCACACTTTTATAGAAAACATTGCAAATGGAGATATAACGAAAATCTGTAATGTTAGTGCATGAGTTCTCCTAGGAAATAAAGTAATGGTAGTAGCTTTTGCACACCTAGGCATATGAGAAGTATGAAATAAATGTTTGATAGTCAAGCAAAGGTGATGACCAATGATGTCCCAGGACTTTTTAAAAACTCAAAAGTGTAACCATCAGGACCTAGAGAGGAGAATATAATCCCTCTAATTTCTTCATCAAAAACATGCACAACTAGACAACAAAGGTGTGAAGGAATAGTTTTACCAACTATAATGTAGGATGGGGCAAGGGAGTTGAAAAAGTTTTGAAAATGATGTATAATAGTAGGAGCTATTCTTTGAGGAGAAGAAAAAACCCCCATAATTAGTGACAATTCCATTAATATTGTTCATATTGTGCATGCATATCTAGTATAAAGGAATCTAAGATCATCTTCACCATTTGTTAACCATCTAGTTTTGGACCTTTGAATGATAGAGACCCAAGATGAATAGAAAAATGGAAGATTGGAATAAATATCTTTCATAGAGGCATTAAGAGAGGGATCAAGAGGGCAAGTTTGCAATTGCTACAAACACAAGTCCTGCCTATGCTGGAGGTCCACAATGGATTTAGTAAGGTCTTTAGAGGAATTCTAACCTTTAGCTTTTATAACACCTTTAAGCCTCTGTAGCTTGGAGTAAAAATTGTAGATCTTGCTCCCACAAATAGGAATGACAAACATAATAATAAGAGAATCCTAGAAATCAACAATGTTAAATAAAAAAAATAAAAAAAGAAATACGTGTTTGTTGTTGGCAGAGGGGTTCCCAAAAACCACCAAGGGAATGTGATAAGAACATATGAGATTTTCTATTTTATAGAACAAGGAAGGATAGTGCTTCAACCAAATGTCAATAACAAGAACCTTGTCTAGCTTTATGTGTATATGATTGTTGCTTCTCTCATTGTACCAAGTGAAAAATGACCAATAGAAGCCAATTCGTGAACTCCGGCATAAACCATAAGGTTGTTAAAGTCCCATAGTATGCTATCACGAAATGCATTACCTCCGAATTTTTCATGGTTGAATTACATCTGTTAACATCTCCCAAAAGAACTCAAGGTAAGGAGATATTACCAACCAAGGATAGAATGTCCTTCCAAAGCATAAGACATTCAACATGGGAGTTGGAGGCATATACCATAGTGATAATGCAAGAGGGAGTAGAACTAGAAAGTAGAATACCATGAATTAATTGGCTAGTGGAGAATGATGGATTAAATGTAACATTGGAAGAGTTCCATTTAAGCCAAATTTTGCCCGACTAGAGACATCAAAATTATTGTAACATGCTTCATTGTTAAAAATTTTGTGTGAGAGACATTGAACCAAATATCAACAACCACTGAGCTATGAATCTTAGCTTCCAAAATACATAAGAAGTCTAACTTATTAATACGGATAAGCTCTTTGCAATGAAGAACTTTTTCTAGGCTATTAAAACCTCTAACATTCCTAGATGCAATGTTAGGCACAGTCATTAGGATTTGGTTGAAAATTCAACCTTGGCCAAAATATTTGTTAACTCTGCAAACTGAAGAGCCATGAACTTGTTTTTAATTGGAACCTAGTTGGGTTAATGAGGAAGGATAAGGAGAGTAGGGTCTGATAGATTATTAGCATTTTCTTGGCCTTAAGGGGGTTAAGGGATATCAATGGGGGAGTTTAGATTAGAGATGGGTTCTTCTAAACAGTTCAACGACTCAGTTTACTATATGTTAATAATAGAAATAGGAATACCATTCAAGATAGGGGGATTTGAATGGTCCTTAAAGATTGATGGTTGTCTAGATGTAATGTGGCCTTAGTGACAGATAGGCTTGGAGGCCTTCTCGACTTACAGCTCATGCTCCATTCCCTAGGTTTTTCAGTAGTATGAGGTTTTGGGGAAGGCTTGATGTGGCATGGATTGTGAGGATGCATGAGATATCCATAGCTAGAACAAGGGGAGTGTTTCCATTTATATTGAATCCTAAGATAAAAAATTTTCGCTACAATAAAAACAAAGATTTCATCCGGAAGGGGGGAGGAGTTTTTGGTGGCCTGAAATCAAACCCTTGCAAAATTAATCGTGTTTTCTCTAGTGTTAGAGAATCAACGACAAGGGAACTTCCAATGCAGCTTACTATTTTAGAAATGCCATATGAATTCTATCATGCAAGAGGGAGATCATGGATTTTCATCTGCAGAGGGATGGAAGAAAATTCCTCACGCTAGGCATAAACAACGACGACCATTTTTTAAGAATAAAAGTTTTGGCCAAAAAAAAAAAAAAGTTAAGGGCCTCTAATCCACACCATGTTAAAATCCTCCAATGATGAAAACTTAGGTAGAAAAAATCCCTTGCTCAAAAAGAGCATAGCGAGCATACCTTTCAACGACCGAGTTTTAAAGATAACTAAGCAAAGAGCCTCATAGTAAGGTCTCTGACCAATCGAGTAACTATCAAAATACAAGCCCCACTCTTTGGAGCCATCTAAGATCTCTCCTTCTGAAAACTGGACAACATTTTTCAGTAGGAACATAGGATAGTAAAAGCTCCTTAGTTGAAGCACTTCGGGCTGTAAGAATGCCTTTCCAGTTAAGCAAAGGAGACTTTTTTATATAAAAGTAAATATATTTATCTGCCTAATCAATTTTGAAGGCAAATATGCCTATATGAAGATGCATCATTACAAAATTTCATTCTGTTAATATGAATCACTCTATTGAAATGGATCACTAATAATATTTGCTGAACACATAACATTAATTTTCAGTTCAAATATTCATAAAAATTAAATAGAAAGATAAAAGTATAAAACCATTATCAGTAACACAAAATAATACGCAGCTATCATTCAAAACATACACATTAAGATTTATAACAATGAAGCCAAAAGGATACAACCATATAAACGAAATATTTAAACATTTGCATATACTGATTGCATAATGAAGGTCCTGGAGAAAAGCCATCAGCAGATGATGAGCCCTCTTCCTCGAGTTTCAGAGATACAAACAAGCATGAAATACAATCCAAACAAAGCAGATACAGACAATCTATATATGTCCAACAACAGCCCTTAGGTATTAAGATGTATTAATTGTTGGCAATTCTTAAATCAGAAACCATGCAGCTTGATGTGCTCCTTCTTCACAATACCAGCCTAAGGAAATTAAAAAAAAAAAAAAAAACATTAATCCAACACCTTTTATTAAAGGAATATACTAATAATAATGAATTCTTTTCGTGTTAATGAACTCTGTACCTGAACCAAGAAAGTTGAGACATTCTTTCGCTGATCACCTTGAAGTTGAATGACCTGAAGGAATATCCGAATAGAGTTTACATAAAGATATTAGTATGTTCTGTAAGATGATTATGATTCAAATTTGATTATGATAAATCCCAAAATCATAAAATTTATTTTTATGCTCTACTGTTGTTAAAATGATTCAGATATTCTGATCTAATAATATATACTTTATGTGAGAAAGTTCTACTGGAATTATACCTGGCCTAGCTCAGGGTCCTGGACAACAGTACCATTGCAGCAGAATTCCTTCTTCAGGTCCTTTAAGATCTTGTTATAGCTGTACTCTTTTCTTAAGCCTTGCACAGTAGTCAGACTCTTCCTGCCGTTGCGTTGTTGTATGCGCACATGCACATACTCCTTTGCTCCCACAGCAGAGTCCTCAGCATTTGCCTCAGCAAACGGATCTACAGGATTAATTCAACATGGAAATAAAGCAAATTAGTTTAAAGCTGAGTTATAAAAATAATTTCACAAAAATATAAAAGGAAGGTGGACGTCAGAAGCATACCAAAAGCCGTGGGAAGCTGGACGTCGAGACCAGACATGAACTCTTCTTGGCTGATGAGAGATTGAATCACCGAAACTAACTTGATTTTTGTTTGAATTGACTGTTGAAAATAATAAAGAATCAAATATGATTTAATATATTAAAAATGGAACTTCAGTTCATGCAATCATGAAAATCAATTAGTTTTAAGATAAATTGTAAATCTTTCAACACCAAAAAATAACATCACAGGCCCTGGCCATCTTGATTTCATACATACAGATGGATTACATGGAACATACTACACTAATAAAAAAGGATCATAGATTAAATGCAAAGCAGGAACATTCTTATCCATGCAAATTTTAAGAAAGTATAAGAAGCTTCGAGTAATAGTATAAAATTTGTCTTGTTTAGGCGGCTTCATATAAATAATCAACGGCCCTCAAGTGAAAATATAACAATTTATGGAATACAGATAAGATAATGATCCCACAAGAAACTTTCGACTTTCTTGCGGAGTTCCCTTCACAGATTTTCTCTTCATGTCCAAGTTACTCCTCCTTTAATGTTCAACAAAGATATCTCCTACAAGATTCCCCCAAGTGGGTTAGCAATAAGCTAATGCTCCTAAATCAACCTTTTAACACTGAAATAACACCTTAAAGCTTCCACCAAGTGTATTGAAAATTGGTTGGTGCGTCTCTTCCTTACAATGAAGCTGTTGATCCCAAAACAAACCTTAGTTACTTCCCCGTAGAGTCCCCTGCCCAGATCTTCTCTCTTCATGTACAACTTATCCCATCATACTCCTTTAATACTCCACTTATGCTTCGTTTGGGACAGCTTTTTTGCTGCACCTTATAGCAGCTTTCAAGTACAAAAATTTTAACTTTTGTATTAAAAAGTTGTTTTAAGAAGCAATAAAAAAGCCGTCCCAAATGAAGCCTTAGTCTACTTCAAGCTTCCGAGTGTGTTAGAAATTTTCCAGCGTGTAGCTATTTCATAGAGGTAGGATGAACGCATGCAAAATTATGGATTGTAAAGTGCCCATTAGAGTATCATGTGATTTGGAGTCAAGTGCGCCTCTTCACATTAAACATTACAAAGAATCAAAATGTTAAACGGCCTAAATATAAGACCAGACGACAAGATACATGCAAATCATGATCCAAAATGTAATAGTAGGATGACAACGTAACTTGCACTCTACTTCTCCCAAGGCATTAGAATGTTAAAAATGATCTCTAATATCCAAAAAAAGGGTATGAGCCAAAATACATGCTGCTATGAATCATATGTTGGGTCATGGGAACATGAAAATGAACAAATGAGAATTCTTATAAATATAGGATATTAAATTAATAGAACACAGAAGAAATATAAATATATAGATTCTAAAAAAGTAGTAAAAACATGTATTAATAGTTGCATATTTATATAAATGAAAGAAACCGTATGACCATTACACCTAGGATGAATTCTTCGAAGACACTCATTTCTACAACAAAGAAATTTGTCTAGAATAATAAATATGGAGGATACAGATTATACACAAATTAACTTAGATTATGTTAGCATATAACTAGTTAGACAGCCCCAAGTAGTTTTATAAAGTTAAATGATACTGGATGGGTGTCCACAAAAAGTGCTAATAAATTTTAAGATTTCATATAATTAAAAAAAAAAACGAAAAAGATTTGGCATGTTAGATGAAGAGTCAAATAAGTTGTCCTGCCAAGAGTGCCCATATGCCAGAAATGACAAAAATCCTCTAGGAGGCCTGAAGGAATAACGTCAGAAAACATGTTAACCAAACTAAAAAAACTAGAAGGGTTCCTTTCAACTTAAATTCATATATATTAACCATGAGAAAAGAAAGAATGCATACAGGGGCGGAACCAGCCCTAATTTTTAGGGGGGGGCAAACTTATAAGACATATATGTCGGGGGTCCAAGGGGGCAGTGTCCCCTGGCGGGGTTCGACCTGTTGGGGGCAATTACCTAAAGACCATAGTATTTTAAAAATTTTAGGGGGGGCAATTGCCTGAAAACCCTTGTAATAAAGACTAAAAAATAAATAAAAATGGGTAAATTATCTAAAACACCATATAAAAAAAAATTAAAAAAAATTTTGAGGGGGGGGCAATTGCCCCCCTGGAACCCATTGGGTTCCGCCAGTGAATGCATATGCATTAGAAGAAAAACATAGACATTTAGAGCTAATGAAGATTCTTTTTCACAATACACTGCAGAAACAAAAAGTTGGGTCCTACAAGAAATAGCAAATACAAACTCTCGAACTCTTAGGCCCAATAAAAAAATGGAACCATCAAACACACCAAATCGAAAATTATTATTTTTAAAAAGTTTTGGAACCTAATGGTGAAAAAAATTCAAGCAAGTAGCATTTTTCATTTGCTTTTGCTGAAACAAATACAATTTTATATTCAAGAAGATAAAGATAATAGAAATCCATAATTCTTGCAATCCCTTCAATTACAACGCCTATTTAATCCAATATGTGAATTCCCGAGGCTCCTCATACCACTTCATCCAAGCTAGGTGGGGAAAGAAAAAGGCTGCGTTTGGAAGTTCAATCAACATAACAAAGCTATTAGACTTTTAGGAAAAAGCGAACAATAGATTGATGGGAACTACGTGTTTTGCAATATAAAGTGCTACATATAGAAGCATCTCTTGAACTTGTTTAGGACAGTTTTATAGGAGTCGTCTCTTGAACATGTAGGACCTATCTCTATAATTATATCTACTTATTAGATGATTTGGGGTTACATGTAAAGCATCTAATGAAGAGAATAATTTCGCAAGTGAGGGTGACTATAGATCTCTTATGTAGAATTAAACAAAACTCTTAAATATGGAGATACCTTTTGATTTAATAATTAAAATTTTGTTAGGAATATAACTCTCCTGAGATGGTTGACCTCCTAAGAAGTTGCATCATAGGCATATTAGGACAAAACAAATAATATATAGATGGATGAGAGTTTTTAGGCCGTGAACTATTCAATGATTCTGCTGGAACATCCTTAGGATAGCTGAACTTTTAGGAAGTTGCACTCAGATACCAACAATAAGGTTTGTAATGTCAAAGCAGACAATATTTCAATGATTGGGAGCTAGGCCGGCATGTATACATACCAACCAATTCCAATTGGTTCATACGATCAAATAATATTGGATCAACACGATTAACTCTCAAATCATAACAATTGTTAAAAACTTCTAGCAATTGAAATTGAGGGACTTGAAAATTGAATCATGGATGATTTAACAAGTGAAAATTATTTAGATGGTTTTTAAAAGTCAAGTATTTTAGGGTAAGCAACAGAAAATGAAAAAATTTGGAAAAAGGAAATATATTTTGAACTGAATCCTAGATAGAAGCCACATATCCTTTAAAAAGGAAATTCAAAAGAGAAAACATTTACAATTCTTGATGAATATAACAAGAAAATTCCCAAACAACAAAATAATAAAATTCTCGATCAAGAAAATCAAATCTACATTAAAAATAACGCACAACTAACATAAATCTAGACGGAACCTCAATACAATCAGCGATTATATGTGCTTCAGATCACAGAAAACCTTGATTCAAGCGCGATCTTCAAATACCATACCAAAAATGAATATCAGAAAACAATTTGTGATCAATAAAATTTCTTCCTCGACAGATGCTTAATTCTGAACATCGAACCCAACCAAAAAAACTTCAATATCATCCCTTTTAACGCCCAAGCACAAGAAATCAAGATCTAAACCATAAAATTATCAACTCAAAAGACACCATATCAAAATCGGATATCATCCGCAAGTGAACAAAAAGCAAACGGAACGTAAGAAGAAACAGAAGAAGGCGACTCACCGAATCAGAGACCGCACGAAGCCGCTGGAGCCGATATAGAACAAACAATCGATAGGCTTCGCCTTCCCCTGACTTCCTTTTATAGACCTTGAGGGCGAGAACGAGGGGACAACCGACAAACCCGCCCCAATATTTCTCCTGCTTCCACGACGCATGTTATTATTCGTCGGACCAAATAAATAGCTCACGACCACAGGTCCCAAAAGATGGTTAAAATTTTAAGTGCAATGTTGACGCCTTGACGGATAAATGAACGGTGGAACGATGATATTCGCATGCGAGACGATTGGTTAGAAATTTTTCGGGTGAAAATAATGGGGACCACTAATTAGTTCGCGTAAGAGCAACGCGATTAACGGCAGCCGTTAAGTTTGGCGGGATTTGGTGCGCCATTTTAGTGGCATATGCGGATATAACAAAGATGTTTCATAAGCCAATTAGGGTTGAATTAGCTCAAATAATAAATATTAAAATTATTTAAATTAAAAACAAATAATATAATAATTAAAACAAATACTGCTATTACCTTAATTCCTAAAACCAGTCATGCTGAATCCATTGCTAATTTCAGGCCCATTGCGCTTTGTAATACGACGTACAAAATCATTGCCTTAATTTATTTAATTATTTAATTTGAATAGTAAGCAAATCGAACCATTCTAAGAAATCAAGATCGGTTCGCTAGTCGAACCAGGCTTTTAAACGATGAAAATAATATTCATAATGAATTATATTAGTGGTGCTTCGAAAAGAATATTAGTGTGCTTGGAAAAATCTCCTATGACAATTGGAAAAGCATTCTATGATGAATTTGCTCATTTTAGAGTTGGAACAAAGCTGAAGAGGTTTATAAGTATAGTAATTTATAATGCATTAAAAAGAGAAGAGCACAAGATAAAAATGTTGATATATCATAGAAATGTTGAGGAAAATAGCAATCTAAGCTAAGTTCATTCATTGTGTTTGCATAACCCAAGTTTTCTCATAAGGGGGTGGGTATTTATAAGCTGCAAAGGCACCTACTAATCTATTAAACCATATATATAATATGTCTAATAACCTATAGATTAATTGAACTTACTAATTACTCATTAACATTATCTCTTGTACTATTTGTATTATCACACACTCTAAACTGACCTTACTGCAAAGGTTAAGCAAACAAAAAACTGACCAAAAAAGATAAACTTAGTCAAAATATGGGCAATTAATTGAAAGGTTGTGTATGAAGGAGGAGGTAGATATCGTGTAAGATCTCATAAGGTGGAGAGGCGAAATTGAGTTTGGGAGGACTAAATGAGTTTTTCTGCGCCTGTAGTGACGTGGCAAGATCAACGTTAGAAAGTGGAGAGACATTGAGGAGATATGGATCAAATTTGACGAGGAATTGAAGGGTGAACTGAATGGAGGAAGCTTTGGAGGAATTGTCGTGTTTGAGGGTTGATCTTGTGATAGTTTGACTTGAGCAAGGCGATGACATGGACTCGGAATGGTTGACCATCAAAAGAATGATATGGATGGTCGAGATCTTGTGGAGGTTGTGACAAGGATTGGTAGACCAATAGCTTTACCAACTAGAATGTAGGAGGGGACATGGGAGTTGAAAATGTTTTGAAAATGATGTATAATAGTAGGAGTTATTCTTTGAGGAGAAGAAAAAATCCCATCATTAGTGACAATTTCATTAATATTGTTCATATTGTACTTGGATCTCTACCATAAAGGAATCCAAGATTATCTTCACCATTTGTTAACCTCTAGTTTTGGACCTTTGAATGATCCAAGAGACCTAAGATGAATAGAAAAAGAGGAGATTGCAATAAATATCTTTCATAGAGGCATTAAGAGAGGGATCAAGAGGACAAGTTTGCAATTTTTACAAACACAAGCCCTACCTATGCTAGAGGTCCACAATGGATTTAGTAAGGTGGTCTTTAGAGGAAGTCTAACCTTTAGCTTTTATAACACCTTTAAGCTTTTGTAGTTTTGAGTAAAAATTGTAGATATGATTTCCACAAGTAGGAATGACAAACATAATAATAAGAGAATCCTAGAAATCAGCAATTTTAAACAAAAAAAATTTTAAAAATAAATATTTGTTTGTTGTTGGCAGAGAGGTTCCCAAAAATCACCAAGGGGTTGTGATAAAAACATAAGGGATTTTCTATTTTATAATAGAACAAGGATAGTGCTTCAACCAAATGTCATTAACAAGAACCTTGTCTAGCCTGTCGCTTCTCTCATTATACCAATTGAAAAATGACTAACATAAGCCAATTCATGAACTCCGACGTTAAATATAAGGTTTCTTAAAGTCCCACAGTATACTATTACGAAGTGCATTACCTCCAAAAATTTTTTGACTGAATCTACAACCATTGAAATCTCCCAAAAGAAATCAAGGTAAGGATATATTACGACCCAAGGATAGAATGTCCTTCCAAAGCATAAGACGTTCAACATGGGAGTTGGAGGCATATACCATAGTGATAATGTAGGAGGGAGTAGAACTAGAAAGTAGAGAACCATGAATCAGTTGGCTAGTAGAGAATGAGGGATTAAATGAAACATTGGAAGCATTCTATTTAAGCCAAAGTTTGCCCGAACTAGAGACATCAAAATTATTGTAGAATTAGTCAATTTATGTTTAGCTAATCAGTTGGATTTTCATTCTACTAATGTGGGAGTTATCAATAATCATGTTGTGACGAATTCCTAAAAATTGCAATTAAATAATCGACCCAATTAAATAATTAACGAAGGTAAATAAGGTTAAAGTTCTGAACTAATTAATTTAGTATGGCCTAATATCAACTAACTTAATATAACCAATTAATTAATTTAAAATTAAATCTTTAATCAATAAAATCAATTTTCAATGGAAGGAAAATTTTATCAAGCTTTTAATAAAATCGAAATGTTAACCAAAATTAAAACTCTAATCAGTCAAAATGGGCAGATAAAATTGATATTAATGAGCCAATATATAAATCTACCAAATTAATTTATATAATTATAAAATATTAAAATACATTAACAAACTATTCAATTCAGATTTAACCCACACAATTTTAAAATACATTTGAAATTCAAATTAATGAGCCAATCAATTGATTTTTAATTTTAAAACTTTAATTTTTTTTTTTGGGAAAATTTAAAACTTAAATTCAATTAAAAAACTCACCTAATTAATTCATTGATTAACTAATGCAATTAAATCAATCAAATCCAAAATAATATTCACACTAAAAAGACTATACAACTCACTAAAACTCAACTCCTAAGAAAGCTAATCAAAAAACAAATTGAAAGAAAGTCTCTAAAATCCTAGGCTGAACTCAGCCCCTAGTGGCCTCCGATCTCAGCCCTTGGCTAAGTCCCAAGCTCCTAGCAGACTGTAGCCTCTACAACTACATCCTATACGGCTTCAAACTCTTGCAACTGTAACCACTAACTACGCGCACCTGCAAGCAATTTGATATGGATTATCAAGATTATAAATTTAATTACATACTAAAAAAAGTAAAACTAAGTACTACTAATAAAACAAAATATTGGAAATAAAGAAAGATGAGTACTAGAAAAAAAAAAAACTAGTAAAATGGTAGTAAAAACAAACTACGAGTATAAAACAAGACACTAACACTAGCGTCGAGGGAGTAAAGTGTATAAAGCTATGCCGTAGCTAATCCGAATCCTATATGCTACTTTTAACAGTAGTGGTAAATCCTATCAATAATTCTATCACTAAACATATATTTATTAAGTGAAACAATAAATTCCTAAAATACATATCCAACTGCTTTTAGTGAAAGCCATAAATCTGATCCTTAGGGGTAATAGCTAGGAAGCATCCTTTATTGGGCATCTTAGCATGTATGACTAAGTTGTAAGACCCACTATTCAGGGCAACTTCTAAGCAAAGCGGTAAGACCTGTGTGTTAGGGAACTTCTAAGTGAACGATCTTAGATCCAAAACTTAAATTCCTATGGGAAGCCTTGTTTATAAGAACTAGGTTGTAAGACTCATTACACAAGCCACTTAGCTTACAGGGCTAGGTCGTAAGACCCATCATCAGACAACTTCTAAGGAAGCTATAAGACTTACTCAACCAAAATTCTTAACCCAAATCAAATCATACGGGTAACTCCTAATTGGAGTTGTAAGCCCCAAACTACATAAATTAACGATCAACTTCTAAGAAAGTCATAAGGTCCAACCCAAATTAAATTAAACTAAAATTCACGCATATCCATTTTAATCTACTCGGGATCCCTGAGAGGAGGCAACCCATGGCTGCTAATCAGATTCCCTGAATACTACAATCAATAATTATTAGTGTTTGTAGACTAAACCCATGGTATGCCCAGGATGACAGAACCATGGGATCTTGATCGGATGTATCCTCATCCCTCCATAACTAAATATAAATCTCTGTTGCACATTCTCACACTCCTTGCACGAAGCTAAGCATATTTCATCATTAATCGACAGTGCACTTCTAACGCGTTAGGAGAGGTAATTAACTATGAGAGCTTGCGCTCATAGTAAGTAGAGCCCAGATCTAAATAAACTCTGATACTACTCTTAGGAGAAATTTGATTAAATATTAAACTCAATCTACCTTTGAGAAAATTAGAGGGAACCCCTAAGTTCATGAGGGCGAGGTTCACACATGTTATTCATTTAAGATTTATCTAGAGCGATCACAACCCCCCACCTCAACAACAAAATCAGAAGAAGGGTTTGGAGTAGCACTTAGGCTAACCCCACAGTTATTAACACCCAACTTATCATTAACACCCAACTTATCATTAACACCATTTAAATTACCATAAGCCATGGCCACAACCGGTTCATCCACAATAGAATCACTAGGATGAGACACCAAACCACCAGGAGAATCATACACATCACAACTATTAACATCACACACAGCAACAAAGCAGAAGATGTATCAAGCTGAGTATCATCTACTAGAAATTTGCTTTAAGAAATAATAAAAAAGTTGTCTCAAATAAAGTCTAAGACTATCACCAAACAATATGATCTATATATAATCTTCTACTAAATTACTAGATGTCTTAATTTTGCTCAATAATCAAAACGATCTTATAATTTTGCTCAAAACTCATGTTTTTAACCTTGTGATTGGAATGACCAATGATCGATATTTATAGGCAAAGCATAAATGCTAAGACGACCTCCAACAACTATCTATAAATTTTAAAATTGCTTTCTAAGCAAACTAAATTTTATGTAGGAGTTTGGATAATCATATCTTCCATGAAGTCATATTCAAATAAATTTTGTTATTATTTTTTGGGACATTAAGATCAATTAAGTCAAATTCACACACAAATCACATGTGCAAGACTCGAACCCAAGACTTCTTGGTTGGCAGCTAAAGCTTTCAACCAACAGACCAATTTGAGCTGCGTAATTTTGGTGAGAAAGATGGCCTGATATCTAGAAATGAGGAGAGGGATGTGAGCCTGAAGAATGGATTCCAAGTTGGTGAGGTATTGGGTGTTTGTTTTAGCTGCATAGATGTTTGAAAATCAGTTATTAGGAAAGATTCAATTTTCTTCTTAGATTCATAAGATGAATTAGAGCTCATGAAAAGTTATCCACTCTCCATGCCTGAAAATAATCACGTTCAAGAGTTGATGAATGCTGTTAGGCTGAGTTTTAGGATTATTTCAACTAAAATGGCTGTTAAGTTATATCATCTTTCTACTAACTATGAAATTTTGTAATATATTTTCTTTCATTTTACTAAATTGATCCCATATTAAAAAAAAAAAAAATTGCATAAGCTCCTATTATGTAAAATTTCAATTTTTTGATAGCTTATTTAGTTGAATTGTTTTTTGGAAGACAGCATTTATAAACAATCAGATAGGCGTGTCAATTCGGATCAATGAGTTGGGTTCAGGTCGAACCTGAATTGACCCAAGCTTAAACGGGTTGACCCGAATCCAACCTGTTTTGCAAACAGGTCAAGTTTGTCCACCCGAACCCGACCCGCCGAGTTATCGATTTGACTTGACCTGACCGGCGAATTTGGGTATCGTGGGCTGAGTCTGAACGCGAGTCTGCGTCGGGCTCGAGTTCGCTACTGCGTGCGTGAATGCAGGGAAGATGCCAGGGCGGGCAACGACTCAGCGTCGAGCCGCGTGCGGGGAAGATGCCAGGGCGGCGCTGCAACCAGTGTGGGACCACCGAGACGACGCAAGTTCGGCCGTGCGGCACGATGGCAATGACAACGAGTCTGCTACCGGCTACTCCGTGCGCGAGTGCGATTGATTGACACATAACCGGGACGGCGGCGGCCGAAGCGACGGACTGACACGAGACGCGACGCGATTGATGCGAGATGGAAATGCGACTCAATCCGGGTTGACTTGCGGGTTTTCGGGTCAACCCGAACCCGACTTGTTTTTCAACCGGGTCGGAAATTCAAACATGGACCGACCCGTTTCACAAACAGATTGACCTAAGCCCAAATTTTTTTAAGTCGGATCCGGGTCGAGTTTCGGTTCGTGTCAAAAATTGACACCCCTACAATGTGAGCCTTAGGCTTCTGTACTTCAACAACCTTGCTTGTGGATAAGGCAAGCAATTCTAGCCACAGATCTAGTCTATAGATAAAACTCGGCATTTTTTCAGCCCTAGTCCTGCTTCGCATACCCCTTTTATCCGAGTCTCCTCTTCTAAAACAGGAGAGTTAAAAGAAATGCCGAGATCCTCACTTGCTTGCTGCAAGCTCTACATCTCCGAAAGCCGAAATCTCCTGGCACTGGAATCCATCGAACAAGCTGCAAGATTGTACCCAGAAGCTATCATCATTAACAAGTTCATGGATGAAGCATACAATCGAGTCGGATATACTCTCGTTTCGTCCATAAGTAAGAAGCCATCTCTCAATTCTGCTCTTGCCAAAGCTGCAGTTTCCATGGTTGAAGCTGCCTTGAAATCCATTGATCTTGGAAGCCATTCTGGAACTCATCCTCGACTTGGAGTTGTTGATCATATCTGCTTCCATCCGTTAGCTGAATCTACACTCGATCAATCTGCAAGCCTCGCAAAGATCGTGGCCGAAGCTATCGGCCATCGTCTTCAAGGTGAGTGCTCAATCTCCTAAATGTCCAGTTTTTCACCAAAGCAAGAAAGTCTTCATAAACTGCAATTCATAAAACTTTCTTAGGCTTTGTTTCAAACGGCTTTCTTATTTATTTTGTAACTAAAAAACTGTTTTAAGCAGAAATAAAAAAATAGTCCCAAATAAAAACTTTAATAACTGGCTTCGTTTGGGACGGCTTTTTTATTGCTTTCTAAAACAGTTTTAGTACAAAAATAAAAAAATTTGTACTAAAACTCTGTTTTAGAAATCAATAAAAAAGCCGCCCCAAACGAACTCTAAGTTTCATTTGGGGCTGCTTTTTTATTGCTTTTTAAAGTAGCTTTTAAGCACAATAGTTAAAATTTTTGTACTAAAAAACTATTTTAAGAAACAGTACCGTCCAAAATATGAGATGACTTTCTTAATCATTTTTAAAGTTGTTTTTTAATTTTTATACTAAAAGAATTATTTTAAGATGCATTAAGAAATTCATCACAAACTAAGTCTTTGGAAGATTTTCTTTTACTATTTTTTATAGCAATTTTTCAATAAAAAATTAAATTTTTATAATAAAAAACTATAACAATAAGAAAGTCATCACAAACAAAATCTAAGCTGTCATTTAGAAACATTTTATATTTAATTTATTTTTTTACATGGAATAAAATATATTATATTTTCTTTTGTTCTAATTTCCTCGATTCCTTCGAAAAAATAAAGAAACACATTTGTTATTTGTCAATAAGACAATAACCATTAAAAATATCAAGGTTTACTGATTACTCTCCTCCCAGTCCCCACCTTCTTGTATGGTGCAGCTCACGAGGAAGGAAGATCTCTTGATAGCATTAGAAGAGATCTGGGCTACTTCAAGCCCAATTCAGCTGGGCACCAATGGGCCAGTGGGCTTTCTGTAGATTTATCTTTCCTTAAGCCCGATAATGGCCCATCTCAAGTGGATCCAGACCGAGGAGTGGTGGTCATCGGAGCTACACGATGGGTCAGTAACTATAACGTGCCGGTCCGGTCTACCGATATCAACGCGGTCCGTCAGATTGCGAAGAGAGTCAGCGGGCGAGGAGGTGGGTTCGAGTCGGTCCAAGCTTTGGCGCTCGCTCATGGCGAAGACTGTTTCGAGGTGGCGTGTAATCTTCTCGAACCGGACCGGGTTGGGGCCGACCGGGTTCAACTGGAAGTCCAGCGACTGGCCGCTGAAGAGGGGCTGGTTGTGGAACAGGGATACTACACAGATTTCTCGCAGGATATAATCGTCGATTCTTACTTAGGGAAGATGGTTGATTAGAAGTTTGAAGCGAATTTATATTTAATTATTTATATTATGAATTTTAATATTTGCTTGATTTTTGTGCAATTAAAAAATAATTTGATTAATTTATAAAATAAAATGTTTTATGTGAAATATTATAAATTTATAATCTAAAAAATATGAAGAAAAAATCATCCCAAATTAGTAATTGATTATTTGAATTAATTAAAATTTTGTTTTAATACAAATGAATGGCATTCTTCTAAATTTTATTGATTCATCCATGCAAATGTGTTCGAAATATTTTTTATGAAGTTTTTTTAAAAGTAGAATATTACTCTTTTGTATTTATTATCTAATAATTACTATGACTATTATGTCATTTTATTTTATGAATAAGAAAATCATTTTCTTATAAAAAAGATTTAGTATATTTTGCCGCTTAATTTCTCCAAAATCAAACAATTAAGTAAAAATTAATTCAATTTAATTATTAAATAAGTTTTTTTACTTATTTGCATTTCCTTTTCTCAAAAGTTTTCAAGCCATAATTTTTTTTTTCATAAATAAATTATACAATAGTTTTTTTTACAACTATCATATTATAATAACAATAATTATAAAAAAACTCTTCAAAATAGAAATTCAAAAGAACCAATAAATTTTAACCAATCAAAAGTCCATAAAATAAAATTATAAAAAAAAATTTCCAAAGCTGGGCATTGTATCAAATGAAGTCATCATTTTATTTTATTTTTCTAAAAGAATGATAAAAAACTAGGCTTCAATATCACACTCTTTGAAAGGAGAAATTATTATGTACAATAACAGGACGGTCAAGAGGTGAATCAGGATGCACCACATCACCCGATACATAGCGGTACACAATACCGATACACAAAAAATTTGACATGACATATCTTAATTTACCTCTGGACGCCATTCGATGATCACACAGAATAATTTCTCCTCTCAAAGAAGTACAAAACTCTCAACCATTTTGCACTGTTCCACAATGAATAAGATTTTTTACTTATTATCTAATATATTCTATTTCAAAAAGCAAAGCAAACCATGGCTTTATTTCTTTTGGGAATATAGAATCTATTGTTCTTTAGTGATCAGAATACAGAGTAAACTCTCTAAGATAATAAATAATACTACCAATGATGCATAGCTTACATTCATTGCTTCATAAATTTCTCTTAGCATTAGTAGACTAAAGCTTCATTTCAGACAGTTTTTTCGTTACTTTTTAAAACAATTTATTAGTACAAAAATTTCTCGAATTAAAAATTTTTGTACTAAAAATTTATTTTAAAAAGCAATAAAAAAGCTAACCCAAATAAAACCTAAATTACTCGAGGGAACAATATTGGCAGTAAGCATCACATGCTGTTGCAGCTTCAAAAAATTTGGGAGTTAAAGAGACTGCAAAAGCAAAGAAGATGATGAGAAACCACAATCATGAATTGAAAGAAATATAAGAAAAGACAATTAAGATTCTGTTAGACTGGTCCATTGGACCATTCCACGCGGGACCGGCCCAGGCGTGAATGAGATGGAACACCTCCACCTCCTACTTTAGCCGCACGCACTGCAGGAGCTAACGAAGCATTTTAAGAAGATTTTGGGAGAGAAATTTGAATGTAGGGACTGCTTAAAGATTTCCTTTTGATTTGTATGCATTAAATACTTTGTTTTCCTAGGGTTAGGGAATCTTGAGTTTGGCTGATTTTGGGATCCTTAGGTTTATGTTTTGGGCTCTAGATTCGTCTAGAGATTGGGAGAGATCGATCCTCCTCTCGAATAGAAAATCACTTGTATCTTGTTGTTTTCTTCTGTAAGTTGATTTATTGCAATAAAATCTACTGTTTTTCTTGATTTTTATTGGAATTGGGAAGAGTTTCTCCCTGTTTTCCGAAGATTTATAGGAAATACTTGAGATCTACAAGTGTTTCCTATCAGAATCTGATTTAGATGCAAATAATGAATCAAAGGACTTAATAAAAATAATTAGACTCTTAAGAAAAAACCAAGCAGAGAGATAAAAGAGTAATTGGGGCCTCTGAGTGTGTACTTGTTTTGAGGTATCAGAATCACTTCTCTGCACAAGAATTCTCAGATCTGAAGGGCATCTGCAATGGAGCTGGCAAGACTCAGCACCTCAAATGGAGGCTTATCAGCAATGGCTTTAGCAGTAAGCGGGCAAGAGTCAGTGATCCAGAAATAAGTGAACCAGTTACTAAGGTCCTCTAGAAAAAAAAAAAAAAAATAAATAAATCAGCGAGATGCGATTAGAAATCAGTAAACAAAAGCAGATATATGATAGGAGGAAGGTTAGTGGATTACTGGAATTATTTTGCAAAAAGAGTTTCCATGATTGCTTGGGGAAAACACCATGAGTCACATAAGCACTAACTTTAGCAGCTCCTTGACTTGCCAAAACTTTCTGTATAAAGGAAAGCAGACATTAATTGAAATGATTTAATATATTCATGTCATTTTCAAGGTATGTTTCCAAGCTTAAGATCGCTCTCAACTGTGTTGCACCGATACGGATACGACGATGTGGATAAGACACAATACGAATATGGGACACATCAATTCTTAAAAGTACAGGATACGGATATGGCGTGAATACGACATTATAATATATAAATTATACATAAAAATTAAGAAAGTAATCAAAGCATAATATTTGAAATGACAAAAAAAATTGAACTGGTCTCTGATAGACCATCATCAGACCCAATTCCTATGCCACTAGAGCTCATTATCCTACGAAGGATCAACACAAATTAAACCACATGAATTTAAAACATAAAAATTTTTAAGTAAAAGTGTAGATATGTCGCAGATATGCCAGGGGTCCAAGTGGGTGCTGCCCCCTGGCGGGGTTTGACCTTGATACTGAGCAATGATACTAAGCATGATATCGAGCGTTGCGGAGAGGTACTGAGCGATACTGAGCAATACCGAGTACCGAGCGGTACCGAGTTCTGGTATCTTTTTTTTTTTTTTTTTTTTTTTTTTTGGTTTTTTTTTTTTTTTTTTTTTTTTTCATTTTTTTAATAGGACACGCATATCCGATACGTGTGTCCGCTCAAATTTAAATAATATTTTAATTAGACACGACAAAGCCGTATACGTGCCGTATCGGAGGCGTATCCGCATCTGACACGTATCCGATACAACATGGCTCATAAATAGGAGTATCCGTGCTACATAGGCCCTTAAGAACTTAATGCAGGCTTTGTTACATTTCAACCTATGATGCACCGACACTTCTCTCCAAAGAGGCGTGCAGTGTCCGACACGACATGCATCTAACACTAACGACACGTGTCAAACACGCCGAAAACATGTTCGATTAAAAAAAATATTAAATAAAAATTGAACACTCATGTCCGACATGCGTGTCCTAAATATTTTATGAATTTTTTAAAATATAATTTCTTGTACTTAATTTTTATATTTAAAAAATTAAGAATAAATTTGTTATATCCTTTTCACACTCAATACTCCATTCATTGAATATTCTCATTTTCATTTCTCTTTGGTGGGTCGCAAATTTGGTTGTATAACAATGCCCAATGTCATCTCAACATCGACATCAGAGGTCATTACAACATCGACATTTCAAAACCCATCTCAACATTAAAGTCGGACAATGATTTGACATTGATGCACGACGCTAGCAGTTTCTACACCCACAACTTGCCAGCCATCTTTGTCCAACGTCTTCTTAACATTGACAACCAAGGCCCTCTCAACATCGACGACATACACCCTCTTGACATTGACGCCCGATACTTACTGTATAACATCAATGTCTAACTCTCAACAGCATTGTTGTCTCCTCTCTCGATGTCAAACTCTTGACATCTTAATATTAATCATTTTAAATACAAACTCTAATTAAATAACTTGTTATTTCTAAATTTATTTCAATATTATACTTATTTAATTTTTATATACTATTTTTAAAATAAAAAAATTATAATATTGTGTCCAACCGGTGCTCGTGTCCTATATTTTCAATAAATTACGTGTCTCGTGTCCGTGTCGTCGTGTCCGTGTTTGTGCATCAAAGATTTCAACAAATAAATACAGATTGAAAACCACTGATTGAAAGTACATCCATGGTAAAAATAATCAATGTTCAGATTTCATATGCTAAAAAGTTTCCAAACATCACCTGGCATTCAATAAGAGTGCCTCCAGATTGCACCAAATCATCAACAATAACAACATGCTGACCATTAGGATTTCCTTCTTTGATTCGAACTATCCGTTTATCACCCTCACGAACCTTTGCACAGACAATCTTTCACCAAAACAAGGATTAAGCAACAGATTAGTACTGAACATATCCAGTAAACTAGAAATAAAATCAATGAGCTAACCAACCATGGGAAAATGCTGCAACTGTTTGTGAAATCTCTTCCAAGCTCCATCATCAGGGAATGCTATAGTTATCTAGCAATGATTGATAAGAGGAATTAATGGTTGTTCTAGGATTTACTTCACAAGATGGATGATAGAATCATACATTATCAGCATCAGCGAGTTGGCGGAGACGCTGTAACAGGAGTGGGATCCCGCTTTCAAAGCATGGTAAAACGTCATCTCCAAAATAGAACCTTTCCTGCAAAGCTCAAAGAGGCCATGGAGATTGAAAGTATCAAATCAATGGCGAGAAATTGTACCAGAATTCACAAAACTTTCTAAGGCTTTGTTTGGGACGGCTTTCTTCTTGCTTCTTAAAGCAACTTCCTAGTACAAAAATTTTAATTTTTGTACTAGGAAGTTGTTTTAAGAAGCAGAAAGAAGCCGTCCCAAACAAAGCCTAAAACTCATGGAACACATCAGCGGTGAAGTGTGTCCTGTGCATGCAAAACCAAAGTGGAACACTTGAGTAACAGATACTAGATTCAACAAGTTGTTTGTAATTCAGAATGCTAAATGAAAGATACGAGACTAGTCAAAAAGCAATTACCCACGAGCTCATGTTGGGAGTGACAAAACGTAAAAATGACCTCTTTATTTAAATAATTCTAATGCAAGTACAAACATGCACAATACGAAAAGTATAATAAAGAAAAATATCTTCCATGATGAAGATTTATTACAATAGTTAATGCTGCAAATTTCTAATAATGAATGATAATATAAATGTGAAATAACACAAATCCTCATGGGATCTTTACAGAATCCTCATGCGATCTCCATAAGAAACTTAAGGGATTTTTAGAGGATATTCACAAGATCGTCACTAGATCTACAAGATAGAAGAAGAAGGTGAAGAAGTTAGTGAAGCAGCAAACATTGAAGTTAGTGAGATAAGTAGCAGAGCAAATGTGATCCAACAAAGGTGAATCACAATGAGACGCCGGCAAGTGAAGAGGTCCGCACGAGCGAACAAATAAAGGAACTGCATGCAAGTGGCAACACGGGTGAGCAAGTGACCAATTCAAAGTGAGAGAGAGCAAGCGAAGGAATCCAAAGCATGTTGGGATGCACAAGTAATTAAATTGTTAGGCAGTGCATGAGCAAAAGGTTGAGTGAAATGAGGGAGAGCAAAGGGTTGAGCAAAGCTGTGTACAAGCAATACACAAGATAAATAGTCCACATGATCTGCAAATTGAAGAGGCTATGGCCGGGTACCAAGGGAGAAAAAGGCTTTGAACGAGATCCTCATAGATCTTCACATAGAGACAACGATGAAGCTCTAATACCATAATAGAAAATGTAAAAGCCTGCATCTTTATTTAAATAATTTTAATGCATGTACAAGAATGAGCAATAAGGAAAGTATAATAAAATAGAACATCCCCATATGAAGATATATTATAATAATCAAAATAATATATTCCTAATTAATATTAAGCATATATGATGATATTAATATGGTAGCAAAATTATTCAAATGACTCTAACAAGGAGAAATTATTATGTGATGTAAAAGGTTATGTGCATAGCTATGTGCAAACTCTTGATTGATTGTTCATATGTTCAGAGTCTGTACATAATAAATTCGCTCATATTGAACATGTACCAAACATAGAAACATATTAGACATGCTTTGACATGTTTTGCACAGTAATAAAAAAAGAAAAACAAGTACATACTTTTAAGAGAACTGTGGGATATGCACTGCGAAGAATGCCCATAAATGTAAACACACACAGATACTTCCACGAAAACATGAAACCACAACATTTTTCTCGGTTGTATCTTTCGGCTATACTAGAACATTTGTTTCAATAAAATTTGCAACGTTATGAGTATTGTATATTCTTTACATTGTCCCCAAGCAATCATGGAACCGAACAACTTCCTAAATAATGCTACGTCATGACAACAACCAGATTAAGTTCTAACATATCTGATGCTATCTGGCAACTGCGCAATCATGACACTATTTAGGAATTCTAAGAAAATACCATACAAATGATGATAAAGTGGAGAAAACTTCTATTCCTGCAAGAACCTTCTAAACAACATACTAAAACTTCGAAAACTAACAAAATTTTTAAAAATTATTCATTGCAAAGCAATCAAATTAGGAAAGATAAAACACCTAAGAATTTAAAAAATCAATTGTAAGGCATCTTACAACAAGCCGAACATATTAAGGCTTCGTTTGGGATGATTTTTTTACTGTTTTTTAAAGCAGCTTTTTACTAAAAAATTTTAATTTATATACTAAAAAATTGCTTTAAGAAGCAGTTAAAAAGTTGTCCCAAACAAAGCTTAAGTATTACGAACATGACAATGAATAAATATCTCAGCTAGTCAACATCATGTAAATTGCCTTAGAACAACACAAATGCTTGATCCAACAGAATATAAATAGTTAGTAACAGAATCAGAAAATTCCCTGCAACAATTATTAAAGATGACACTGCCTTCAATATGGCTTGATGGATTATTCTATGTACTAAATATTGGGAATAAATTTACTTAGAGCTATCTTATGTAATATAGATAAATTTAGCAATCTATTAAACATCAATTCTACTTAACAAGAACACATGAAAATTATAAAAATAATAAAAAAACACAAAAACTTGTTTAAATCATAAACTTGCCTGCAAAGCATGTATATCATAGATAACTACACTAGTAGGACCGCCCCTGGACTTGGGTATCATAGAGAGTATTCGTGCCATAGTGAATGCAGTTGCAACATCTCCCTCTTCTTCCATTCGCTCAAAAGATCCAGTAGGAAAGAAAGGTAGAACCAATGTGAATGAAGCAATAAAAAGTTTTGGTAAAGCAAATATTGCAGATATTTGCTCAAAGATAACTGCCGGTGAGCTGAATGAGGCTAAAAAGGCAACATGTTGTCCCCTGATACCATGCGCATCATTGATAAAGAGATTTGGGAAACCATCATCGAAGCTTCTGAAAAATGGATAAGATGCATCGTTGAGTGTTTTTGAACTGACAAAAAAAGCCATTGTCATGATATTCTTGCAACACTAAAAAAACAAAAGAAAATTTTCATAGCGAAGATCCATTGAATAAACGTTATACAAAGATGAAATGTCATCGTGGTCTATTGTGAATTTCACAAAGTGTACAGAGAAGGCAGCCTGGTAGCTTTTGAGTGAGGACGATTTTCACCATCTCATCTGTAACTAACATTTAACCAAGCGAGAGTAAAATAACATTTTTTGTGATTGCGCATTTGATCATCGGGGAAGCTAAAGCTCTTTTGCGTTCAACACACCAAAAGCAATGCTGCAATAAATTTAGATACTTCTGAGGAATAGATGAGGCAGCAATAGAAAGTAGTTTCACAATATGGCATGTACTGAGTCTGTAGAATAAGCATACAAACTTAACACATAATGCCATATTTTTTGCATATAGTTCATTGAGGAATCAGATTCAATCCTCTATGTACACTGGCTGAAAGAACCTAATCGCTCTAAGGTTGGATCACTAATTCCTCCTCAATGGGTATCGTAAGTTAAAGAGAATAAGAAGCAACTGATCTTGCATACAAATTTCCCAGCTCCAATCTCAACCTAGTTTCTTTCAGACCTTTATATACCTAAAAGGAATAATCTTAGTTGTAGTGTGGTAAAAAAAAAAAGAGTTCCAATTATATTGACAGCAAGAATTTCTCCAGTAAAGGTTAAGCACTTGACCTTGAGGTTCGTGCATGCTTGCAATAGGGATTTTCCATAAAACTCAATGCAAATGTGGCATCAAGATCAAATATGATGCACCGCAAATAAGGGGAAAAAAACGAAAGTACAAATAATTTAAACACGTCAAGTTTTATGCAGTTTGGCTTCAATTAAGCTTACATCCACAGAAGAGTGGAAATAATCAATCCCCTATCAATAGATGCAACAATTGTGAAGCACATAATACTCACCGGCACTTTCTAGATCCCAAGTACATCCATGCTTAAAACAAAGAAGTACCCAAAAACCTTCATAATAGGTTTACCTCACAAAAGGAATATTTTGCTTCTCACATGCACCTCAAAACCACTAAATCCTCCAAAACATTCTAGCTACTAAGAGGAAAAATTGATGAGGATAGAGATAAAGAGAGATGTTAATCAAAACTCTAAAAAAACAACCTATAAAATAATCACCAAATGCCGACCTTGCATGCATCTTAAGTAAGAAACCAACCAAAATCTCAAGATTTCATAAAAAAGTAGTCAGGATTATAGAAACCCACCTACATGCAATCCAAGGTGAGCATTTGGGATACATGAATGATATAGGGCACAAAGTACTCCACATTAGTGAAATGAGTCAAAATTTATGAACATGGACTTCACTTCTTGGTGAAGGAAAAAAATGACCAATAAAATGCCAATTATCACATCATTTAGATTTTTTTTCTAGCAATTTTTTCTAAAACATGCATAGTTTCACATTAAACAATCAACAATATTTTTTTTTTTTGATAATGAGATAAGGAGAGTAAGGAAATGTTTGAAATGAATTGAGAAAAAAAAAGAAGTAATAATAAAATTATTCAGCCTATATGGGCAAATGGAATTTGGGCAAATCTTTCCGCATAGTTGAGAAAGAATCTAAAAGAATTGAAAGGGCCCATTCAAGAACAAGAAACTTCAATCATTATTTGAATTTTGGTGAAATAGTACATTAATTGGAAGTTCTATAAGTTCATAAAGGAAAAATTTATAAGAGATCATTGGGCAATACAGTTTCTCCATAATAACTATGCCCCATCCCTTTAGCCACCTTAGCTCTTAATGCATGATCATTCAAGTCAAGTTTCTTTATTATTTGGATGGATGAATTCATGTGAATCAATCCCCCAAAGGAATAGAACATAATTATTTTTCATCCACTAACTCGAGCATGAATTAAAATAAACATAAATAGATCCATAAAACATAAATATGATGCTAAAATATGGAAAAGCAAGATGCTCATGCCAAGTATGTGTGAGATGAACTAACTTGATTACGGTCCTCTGACCATTGTCCTCCGATTACAATCTTTCGATCACCATCGTCCGACTATAATCTTTCAACCACCGTCACCCAACTCCAATCCTTCGAACTCCATTACCCAACTATAGTCCTCCAATCACTATCATACGACTATAGTCTCATTCTAAGTTGGCTACAACGATAGCCATTGACTTCATCAGATACAATCGTTTATAATATCAATGCACCCCACCACCCATAAAATCAACGCACTCCATTAACACCAACTCTGACTCTTGACTTCAGTACTAGGATTTATGTTGGGCTTGTTTGTCTCTAACCTCCCTTCCTCAAAGGAGTACAAACATACAAACAAATTAATGATCTTTTAAAGACAACTCCCGTGTCGTGGAGCTCTTCTAACTTTCACAAAATAATACGTTCTATAAATTACATGTTTACTACATTGTATCAACACATTTCTCTAATGAAGGACATCATTTCTAACTGATTATATAATAGTATAATCATTTAAACTGAGTCAGACCCCATAGTTTTTTCACTTTTCAAAAAATTTTCCATAAAAATTTTGGTTTCTTTTGCAACTACTCCTTTCTTTGTGTCTGTTTTGTATCTTCATATAATGTTAGACAATCAACTCTCTAATTCTACCATTGTGAATGTTCTAGCACACAACACCACCTATGAATAATCCATTGGTATGAAAGGTCTTTTATGTTTCTTGACTCCATGATTCCCCAATAGATTGACCCTCAATAATAACTATGGCTTCTCCCAACTCAACCAAGTTAACATGAGTAGTACTCTGGCCATAACATAATCAGCTAAGAACTGCATAATTTAAAGGACTGCTCGTATTCATCCTCTGCCAACTGCGTTTAAAATACTTTCTCAAATCCATGGCCGGAGAGAATATCCTACACCAGGGAAGAAGAAGAACCTTCAAGCTCTTTCAAATATCATAATTCTTCCCCTATCATCACCTTAATTGTAACTGAACTATCTCTACTTTTTTTCCAAATTACACCTTATTTCACCTTGTATTCCTTCCAAGTCCTTTTGGATTCTTAGGTTAATAATATTTTAAGAGGCTTGGTTCTGCAACACTTTATCTTCTAGCCCTAAAGATTCAAACTTTAGTGCAAATAGTACAAACTAAATCAAAATGTTCCATTTAAATGTTGTTCAAATCAAGATATATCAAAAATAAAAATGTAGAGAAAGGATTCAGAGTTTCAGACCTCCAAGCGATGGACCGAAGCTGAATAGCATCTGATTGCTCCGCCACCTTCCGAGCGAGCTCTTCCGCTTCCGCACAATGGAATAGGTGAATCAATTTCTTCGTTCTCTTTTCCATACTTCCCTCTTGAGCTTGCAGGTTCTCGCTACTGCGTTGCCCTTCACTGACCACCCAGTAAATTCCCGTCAGCGAGGAGGTCTGAAATATATTATGCTCTCTAGGTTAGAAAAGAAAATAAATATATAATTTCCTTTTTATTATTGGAATTTTATGATAAAATCATTATTCATCAAATTTTTAATATAATTAAGATCTGAAAAAAAAAATGATAAATATGCCCTCATAAAATTAAATAGTAAATTAGTTTTTTATTTATTTAAGCAAATGAATTAATATTTTATTATGTAATTTGTATAAGATTATTCAGAATTTCAATCCTTATATAAATGAAGATAGAGATTATTAATTTTATTAATATAAGAATTTAATAAAATACAATGATATGTAAATAGTGAAGTTTCTATTAATGTAAATTCTCATATTATTTTATGAATTTAATATTTAGATGAGAGACTGATGAATATATAAATAAAGAATGTTACTTTCGTAAATAATTAAATTTTGAGGGGATGAATAAAATTGATTTTTGCCGGTCGCCTTGTCTCGGTTGGGAGGGAACAAGCCGCCGCTAAGCACCTGCACCCAAGACAAGGACGTAGCGATTGGCCGGAGCTTGCCATGGGAAACGTTGGAGAATACGGCGTGTGAAGGAGAAGAGGGGCTCGCAATAAAATTATGCGATGATAAATGAGCAAGCAAGCCCTAAATCGCGGTAAATCCGAATGATGGGTTCATTCTTTTTCTAAAATGATCAATCCGAGCGTTGATTTGGCGCGATAGCTATTGGCGATTTCACATCGGATCAAGCACGAATCGTCTCCTGAAAGGGTGTGAAGCGAGCGCGGAAGGATGCAGTGGTATTTCGTTGCTGCTCTTCTCACTCTTCTTACCAGTTCCCAGGTACTAGATGAAGCGTTGCGTATTTCTTCAGTTTTCGTTGATGACTTGTGGTCAAACAATTTTTTGATGGCGTGTGTTTGACAATTGTTCTATAAATTATCATGTTTCGGATTAGGAAGGGAGCAGGATTGTTAAATTTGAGAAGGATTTTCCTTTTTTAGATAAGCTATCTTTCTAGTGTCAGCGTAACTTCAATTGCTTGTTTTGTTCTTGATGTTATGGGCAACAGTAGAAACTGAAGATATTATGGCGATTTGCTGCGTTATGATCTAAAAAAATTATATTGGTTATGTTTTGCGTGTATAGATTTTACTGAAGGAAGGGCATGGGAAGGAAAAGGAAATGGAAAATAAAATAAAAAGTATCATCTTGGATAGTTGGATTCACAAAATATGCAAGATAGAGTTAATGACTTGAGTGATTCAAGGGGTTGGGTTGAGGCATAGGAGCAACTGGGTCAAGAATAGATGATAGAGAAAACTGTTTACAGATAAGAACTGGGCTGTTTTTTTTTTTTTTTTTTTGATGATAAGATTAACACTAAATTGAGGGGGAACTGATGGTTGCTAGATTTTCGTTCATTTTGTTTTCTTTTTAATTTTCTTCACCGGCTAACTAAGCGAATTTCAAGTTTGGTAGCAAATATTTTTCTCTTCTTATCTCTCTGTATGAGGTGTTAGGATGATGACAAATATTGAGGGAGGATCTGATGGCTATTAGATTTTATTCTGTTTCATTTTCTTCTAAAGTTCTATCTTACTAAACAAGTAGAACGGGAATATACTAATTTTCTTTTTTTCACATACCCTCATTCCAAGTGATGTAATTCTAATGTAGAATCCGGTATTCATGACGTTACTTGTCTATAGTGCCCAATTTCTTGTTTTTGTTATCTCTAACATTTATCATATTATCTTTATAACCTTATTGCATCACACTTTGCCATGTCAAGTCTCTAGTATGTTATGATTTTAAAAGCATCGTTTTTTATGCATTGCTTCTACATTGCTTTTCAAATATCTAGAAGACTACAGTCACCACATTTTGGATTGTGTTGGAACTTCTTCATTAGCACATGCCCTTAGAAATTCCAGGTTTTACCATATTGCATGGTCACCCAATTGAATTCAGTTAGCCCTTACATTTTTGAGCTCCGAATAAATTGCAAGTATGAAGGACCTTTTCCACAACAACGAAAAAAAGGAGCTAATTCAGTAATTTCCGCTGCAATCTAACTTTGATCGGCAATTCAATATCATTGCCGATTTAATAGCGTTTGATTTTAACTTCTACTGCTGTTCTATTACTCTTCTCATATTCGTATAACTTATTCTGATGTATATTTTAATATGTAGCTTCAGAAATTTAACTGTAAATTTTTTAGGTCTACTCTTTTTTAATTTTTTTTTCTACCTGTTTTGTATTACCAAATAGTTTTAATTGCAAGCATTCACTAGCAGAATATGTATTGCTTGTTTAGGGCATTTTGACAACACTCTCGCAAACTAATGGAAGATACAAGTATGATTATGCTACAGTTCCCTTTCTTGCAGAAATCTTCAAGGTATTTTTGCCCTATGGTTTTATTTTAACTATTTAAATTGTAAAGTCCATTTTAAAGATAACTATCCTCACAATGCGAAGATTTTTGTAAAGCACTGCTTCACTGTTATGCTGCTGACGGCTGTCATTTTGTCATATTTCATAAACTACTTCCTATCAACTGCTTGACAAAAGTTCAGCTTTTAGCATAATTTGCTAATCATCTAATGCCTGCTAACAATGGTTGGTCATATGGATTTTTCGGTGTCATTTCGCTTTCATTATTATTATTATTATCATCATCATCATCATCATCATAATCCTAATCATGCATAATCTTATTGTCTAATGTGGCTGTGATCATAATGCTAAAAAATCAGCTGCTAGTATCCGGTTTCTTTCTTTGGAGAGAGATCAAGTCTCAATCTTCTCCTAGGATGACAACTGAATGGAAAGCAGTGCGGTTATTTGTGGTTCCTTCGATCATATACCTTGTGCACAACAATGTTCAGTTTGCTACTTTAACCTATGTTGATCCATCTACTTATCAGATTATGGGAAACCTGAAAATCGTGACTACTGGGATTCTATTCAGGTGCTTTTCGTTTTGTACCTATTTATAGATTTCAGGACTGTGAGAGTTTCAAAGATATCAGGAATACATGTTCTTGAATGAGCAACTGCAATAGTGCCATTAACATTTTCTCCTTTTATAACGTTCCAGACTTTTCCTTAAGAGGAAGTTATCAAATCTACAGTGGCTGGCAATCATTTTATTAGCAGTGGGAACCACTACAAGCCAGGTTATCTTTCCCCTCTGTGAATTCCATAAATCTTCACAATATGCATCACGAATATGATATGCAATTCTATTTTTGTTAAGTGTAGCATGGAGGAGCTCACTTTTCTTTAGGATTTTTACTTTCTTTTGTTTATGCACTTAAGTAGGTAATTTTAAGCTAGTAACTTGCACTGGATGAATCAATCTAAAACTAATTTTCAGATTATGACAACTATTGTTTATGCAACATTTCATGTTTTATATTCCTTTTAAGGTTATTATATGTGTATCATACTTGTTCCCACCCTTTATATCATCCCATGTGATATAGTAGAATGCACTACTAATGTTTAAGTTTCATATTAATTTACCTCCCAAGAGTACAACAATAATAACAACAAGCCTTTATCCCACCATGTGGGGTCGGCTACTTGAATTCTTTTTCTCCATTATGTTCTATCAAGAGTTTAACACAATGCATTAAAGGATTCATGCGTGATTGTTTGACTTGTTTTACGCTGGTTGTCGACTACCTAACACAACCCTCTATTTTTCTCATCAAGGGCTTGGGATCTAACAACAACATCAAAAAGGGCTATGATTATATATTATCTGACCCCTCAAAATGCCAAAATTTAGGATCTGTCAAATCATATTTCAATATTACATTACGCAAGTAGGTAAGATTTTTCAATAAATATATTGTCATATCATTACCAATAATAAAACGAGTTTTAAAAAACTAATTTAAATCACGAAAAGTTGTGGACTACTTCCACAACTTAACATGCAAATTCTAACCACTGTCACTATGCATAGAAATGATGTGATTACATTTGCATGAAAGAGCTGCAGTGGATTATTGGATTGCAGAAAGGCTTAATGGAGATTCTTATAATATAGCATTCATTATGAATCTAATAATGTGACTTGTAGATAGAAAATGGAAAGTTCAATTTCAAATTTTGATATGCATGGAATATAAATGCTCTGATAACTCAAAATTTTGAACATTGGTAATAATATATTATAAATAATAGCAACTTGCACTCCAACATAGCAATCTACATTAAACAATAATTTTTCTTCTTCAACATCATATACTAAACATCTTAAAATGCAACTAATAGTAGTTAAAGGCTTAACATAATAACATACTAACACATTCATTGTTGATAACCTATTGCATGTAATTCAAATCATCCTATGACATAGAAAAGGCAATAAACTTTGATGTTGTATGCTTAAGAGTATAACACTAATGTGTAATCCTAGGATGAGATGAACTAAGAAACATACCGAAAATCACAATTTATTGTTTCCCAACTCTTGATTTAGGCAAGTATCAGCCTCTTTTGATGGAAAACTAGAAAATGTGTTTAATTCACTCAAAGCAATAATTTAATGATAAACAAAATCTAATTGTACGAAATCTGTGAATTAATAAAAACCATAGAACATTTAGGATTCACACTTTAAAAAAAGATGTATCAAAATTGACCAAACCTCAATTACGCAAAATCAATAAAAGATATTTATATTAGAGAAAGGCACAGCTAAGTGATCAAATAGGAAATCAAAACTTCCCCTAGTACAATGAGAAGCACCCTTTGGAAGTTGTCATCAAGAGTTACACCATACTCGAAGAATTCACATCCAATTAATTCACACAAGTTGAGATAAAATAAAACTTTTATTCAATAATTAATATCAAAATGCATGCCTCAGGTGTTATTTTTACTATCCCAAACGACCCAAAATTATTAATTTCTTAAAATTGTCTAGATCTAGTCAAACGTTGCAAGTTTCAATTTAACCAACGTTAGGAAATCCAATCTTTCCTTCCATGCTGAGTTCACCAAACAGTCAACTATGGTTTCAATTATGCTAAAATATCACAAGAGGAAACGACCAACACTGCTTTAGGAAAGAATCCACACATGGCATTTGCAGATGATCACAAGAGGTAACTAATGTGCCACCGAAGGGAAGAATATCACAAGGAACTAGCACACCACATGAAGCACCCTAATTCTAGCTTTTGGTTCATGCTATCATAGGAACATATCAACAATATTTGAAGACAAGTCCATGTCATGAAATTTGTAGTATGACTACCAATCAATCTAGTCTTTGAAGGAAAACACATGTATGCCATAGCTATAGAAAGAACAAAATATTGGAGCGAAATTGAATCTTGTAGCAGTAAATCAAACATATGAAAGAAATTAAAACACGAGAGAACATATTTTATTCTCATAGGCATAATTAAACTAATATAAACTAGATTACAAAAAATACAAAACAAAAAGCTCAATACATACTCACTTCTTGTGTTTTGGATAAGTATATGCATTCAAATTTGATTAGTTTTGAAGATTTTGGCTCTAATGAATTGCACATTTGATGATTGTCAAACAAATTTGATCATAATTATTGTACTTCCTACATAGTAATCCATGAATCATTACTAGTAGGTCTAAGTGTTAATACACAAGATACTTCTGATACTCACCATTAATTGTGGGCACAATCTCATTATTTAGAATGGCTTAACTAGCATGTTGAGTGGAACTAGACAATTTGATGTTCATAATAAAGAGGTGAGAAGAGATGAATTTATAACATTGATAGTAGGTTCATGAAATAAGATCAAATTAAGTCATCGAAGACTGGGCTAAGATCAATAGAATTTTTTTTTTGTTCATGAGAATTTGTCCCATCATACTAAATGATTTTATATGACCCATCTTTTTTGCAGTTAGTTTCTTCGAAGTCCTTATAAGAAATCTTTTAGGATTTACATATATCTTTACATTATCAATTGGTTTGAATTCAACATGCCTCATATCCGCACTATAAGCAACAAACTTATATTTTTATGAGAATATCCTCATGCAAATCATGCATCTGTTGTGCAAATGATTGTGTAAACTCATTATGCCTAAACTCAGTGGTAAGTTCAATAAGATCTATTGGTTATTAAGGTTGATACCTTATAGACCTACTTAAAGAAATCAACACCATGCTACCACTTTAATGATGCCACACTACCACTTTAACAATGCCACAATACCACTTTATCATAACAAAATTAAAAAAAAAAAATTGCATGAAGATATCTCATGAAAGAGCACAAGTTCCATGGAAGGGACATGCATATGTTAAGATGTCCCTATCTTAAAGTGAAAACTCAAAATGAATATAAAAAAAGAAATAGTGGCAGTTGCAACTAGCAATAAATTTTGTGGGAAGAGTACTGTAAGCTGGTGAGAAAGCACTTGAATCTCTCGAGACTGGAGGGGAAAGACTTGAGCACCGACAACAATTTAGAGTAATGATAATCACAAAGAAGAGGAACCATTGAGAAGAAGAACTACAGAGTCATGTAATTGCCAAAGTATAGGGTTAGGAAGGCTCTTAAAGTGCCTTGCTAGAATGAGGAGAACTATGAGAATCAGAAGATATTAGGAAAACGATTGAGTAAGTGGTTTTGTTCAACTCAAAAGCCCATAAAAGAATGTGTAATAAAAATAAAAAAGTCTATGCTTGTTAGAAGCACAAAAAGTGAACTTCAAGAGGAGTATGCTTAATTTATTTTATATTTTCTTTGCATTATATTTTCATTTTAGTTTATGTTAAACATGTTGATGATTATTTTATTGAGAATGGATTTGATTAGTTCTTTAGATTTAGTTTACTATTGTTGTTGATGATTTGCTAGTTCAGTTGTTTCCAATTCGAACTAATATCAAGTTCTTTGTTTTGAGATTGGATTTGATGTTTGCTATATTGTTCGGACTATTATTATTATAAAATCCCCATTTTTACTTCTTTTTTTGCATGGCTTTTTTTTCTCCTATGGAAGGTGCTGATGTGAAACATATGTGAATGGATGGTGAATTAGGAACTTGCACGCTTGATCTAGAGAACAATATTATTTGAAAGCTTTTAAGCGATAAAACGACGAGATAAAACACGAGCGTGGTGTCATAAGTTTAGGCTAAGTCACATACATAAAAGTTAAAACCACAAAAGTAATCAATTACTCTTAACTACAATATCAAATGACCACCCCTAGGGGTAAAATGGGAAAACATGAAAACAAAATAAACTAGTACATAAAACAAAAAAGAAAATAATAAACTCCACATCATAGCCGTCGATCTTTTGATGTCCTCATCAGGTGCACTCTACAATTTTTGTTTTTCGATACTGTAGTGTCAGTTATGACTTTCCTTCTTTTTCTCGATATTTAACTATGGTTGAAAGATAATTTAGTTGATAATTAGATTTTTGGATATCATCCAGTGTGAAATATGGGGTAAACCAAATGTCTATGTCATATTGCAGATGTAGAACACCTACATCATGTAAATGTTGCATATAATGCATCCCAGAATCAGAGAGGTTGATTTGGATACTTATTAATACTTGCGAGAGTTAAGTGTGGAAAATCGAAATTTGTGGTTTTTGGCTAGATCTTGTAGGATTTTTAGAAGTTTTTTATTTTGGACCTTTGTGGGGCATATAAAGTGATCCTGGAGGCATACAAAAAGTATTTATCATTGAGTTTTGAAATAAAATTTCAGTTTTCCTCAATTATTACTTGTTTGTTGGTTAGATGTGTATTCTCTTAGCACTTTGCAGGTGTTGACAAGCATCTCCGGGAGAAAGTCTCATTATTTTTGTGTCAGGCTTGAATCTTCTTTTTGGTTTATTTCTATCATTATTCTTGTTTTTAATTTATTTGTTTTGTGCGTATGATATGCTTGATTAAAAAAACCTTGGTTGTTGTTGTATATTTGTTCACTTCTCTCTTTTTTTTTTTTAATTTGAAATTTAAGATTTTGATGATTATTAAATTATTATTTGGGATGAAAGGAATGTACTTGTTATTTTTACTTAAAAAACAAACGATTTTTACTAAGCTACTTGCGGATTGTGATTTTTTTCTAATATTTCAATGTACAAACATTATAATCATTATATGGTGTATTGATAACCTTAGACCCTTAACCGTCATACACCAACTTGCTCTTCTACTCTTCCATGAGCAAGGTTAGCTCCAAGAGTGTGCTTTAAAGCATTCTCTTAATAACAACTATTTTATCTGGGTATTGCGGACTCATACCAGGAATTCTTTTATTTTTTAAACGAGAATAACCCATTTTTTATTCTTTACATAGTTAAAACTGTTTGGAAAGAGCAAAAATTGTGTTTAGTAATCTGCTTTTCCTTTCAATCTTCTGCAGGTAAAAGGTTGTGGAGAAGCATCATGTGACTCTCTCTTTTCAGCACCTATACAAGGCTATGTGCTTGGAATATTGTCTGCTTGTCTTTCCGCCCTTGCTGGTGTTTACACAGAATATCTGATGAAGAAGAACAATGACAGCCTTTATTGGCAAAATGTGCAACTGTACGCGTAGGTATTTTTTATCCCTTCTGGAATTTGTAGCACAACTTTGCAGTTGTAATGACTAGGAACTCAGGTTTCTTGTGCTTCAGTGTTAAAGTACATCCCTGATAAAGTTTTTCTAGGAGTTAATTCCTTAATTTTTGTTGTTGTTTCATAACAAAATATATCAGGTTTGGTGCGATGTTTAATTGTGCACGGCTTCATTGGGATGATTATAGTGGGGGATATGAGAAGGGACCTTGGTGGCAACGCCTCCTCAATGGGTACACATTTACCACCTGGATGGTTGTACTAAATTTAGGATCGACTGGCTTGCTGGTTTCATGGTTGATGAAATTTGCTGACAATATTGTTAAGGTAAGTCCGTCAAGTACTATCATATATTAGTGATTTCGTTTTGATTTGTGGTAACACTTGTACTTTTATTTCATGGATTCCGCTACTATTTTTTTATGATTATAGTTGTCACACCCTAAAAAAGTTTCTCATGAAGTGATGGAGGTCAGGAGGTGAACTGTCGCTTGCTTGAGCAGTTCCTTACCCACAAGTATCCAATAATTGTTAGAGCTATCCTGAGGCTGTTGTACTTGAAGGCAATTCTGAGCTAAAGTCAGCTTATTGTGGGTGAAAAAAAAAGGTCATCTAAGTAGAATTAAGGACAATAGCACACTTTCTCAATATACCTGTTGCATGCCGGAACATCCGTGGCAGTAGATAGATGGTGAGTTTAATGTCCTAGCTTTGTACGAAGATCCAGCACGCACATATAAGAGAGGGGTGCAAAAGTCATAAGTGACCCCTGAATTTTTATGTGAAAAATACTGAAAAGGTGAAAAATCATGGGTTCTTGTCCAGTTGAAATGTTTTCACTAACATTAAATGTTGATTACAATTGATGTCCTTTCTTGGGGGAAAGTGTTGGCACAACGTGTAAATATACATCATTTAGAGCATATTATATGGTTAGAGTTGAAAGAATCCAATGACATGAGAGTTGTTCTCAAGTGAATGTTGGTCAATTCATTTAGTCGAGAGGATTGTAGTCGGGCAATAGTGGCCAGAGGAACCATAGTTTGGCGACTAAGGCTGAAGGTACCGTAGCGGGGCGAAAGAGGTTAGAAGTACCATAGTTAGGAGACGATGGTCAAAGGGACCGTAAGTCAGGAAACGATGGTCCAATGGACTATAGTTGGTAGGCGATGGAGGTCGAAAGGATTGTAGTCGGGCGATGAAGGTCAGAGGGATTGTAGTCAGTGAGCAAGTGAGGTCAAAAGGATTGTAGTAGGGTAATTGTGGTTCAAGGATCATAGTCGGGCAACAAAGGTTGATGGGACTGTAGTCAAGCGACGATGGTTAGAGGGACTGTAGTCGGACGATGGTGGTCAGAGAGACCGTGGTTTGTGAGTGACTGAGGTCGAAGGGACTATAGTCGGTTGATGATAGTCCTAGGCATTGTACTCGAGTGATTGTGCTCGGAGGGACCGTGGTTGAATGATTGAAGTTAGGGATCGTAGTCGGACAATTGAGGTCGGAGGGACCGTAGTACTGAGGTTGAAGGACTGGCAACGGAGGTCGGAATGATCATAGTCGGGCGACGGTGGTCCGAGGGACCGTACTGGGCAAGTGATCGAGGTTCGTAGGACTATAATAGTTAGGTAACTGATGTCAGGGGGACAGTTTTCGGGCGATAGTGGTTGAAGGGATCATAATCGGCGAGCAACAGAGGTCCGAAGAACCGTAGTCGGCGGGTGATGGAGGTTGAAAGGATCGTAGTTAGACGATGATGGCCCAAGTATCGTAATCGGGTGACGGTGGTCTAAGGGACCATGGTCGGAGACTCGGAGTCTCCAGTCGATAGGGGTTGGAAGGACTGTAGTTGGCGAGCAACAAAGATTAAAAAGACCTTAGTCTGACGATGGTGGTCCAAGGATCATAGTCTTGGAACGATGGTTCAAGGGTGTTGGTTTTGTCGGGTTTGCAATTATGGATAGAATATATAAGCAAGATTTCAACATCTAGATTGGCCACATTTTTCGTGTATATTTTCTTGCAGAAAGGCAAGGGAAGTCTTCCAGAGCCTTTTAGTTAACTGGGCCGTCTTTAACTCTCAAGTACAGTAGCTAAACTGACTTGCAATAGTCGTTCAATTTTCTTTACTTATGTTAGGTGTCTTCTTGTAGACATCTTGGATCTTTTTCGATTATTTGTGAGACCTGTATTTTTTAAAAGCCACGAGTTTATTTCTTTTGAATGATATGTTTGCGTTATTAATCCAAGCTTTTCTTCTTAAATAAAATTATGTTTTGCAAAAATTGTTGGTTCTTACTGAGATCTATTATAAAACCTCGGACACTTTGTTGCCCGCAGAGTAGATTTTTAAATTTGCTGCAAGCTAACTTCATTTGTAAAATCACATTTTGATCAATCTACAAGGTCTACTCAACTTCAATGGCAATGCTGTTGACAACGGTTCTATCTGTCTATCTTTTCAATTCTCAGCTCACCGTACAGGTAAATTTTGTGCTTGCCTTACTAATTATTTCAGATGATTTAGTTTTAGGTTTCGTTTGAGACGACTTTTTTCCTGCTTCTTAAAACAATTTTTTAGTACAAAAATTAAAATTTTTATACTAAGAAATTGCTTTAAGTAGCAATAAGAAAGCTGTCCCAAATAAGGCCTTTGTTACCTATCTACTTTACAAACTATCTATTTTTTTATTGAGTAACTTGAACTATTTCTTTTGATCAGCTCTTCTTGGGTATTATAATCTGCATGATCTCATTGCACATGTATTTTGCACCTGTTCGCATGCTTGTTGATTTGCCTGCTACATCGAAGTCGGTCTCAAGCACTCTAAAAGAAGTCACTGTTGAAAATCATGAATAATGATGATTTGAGGTATTGTTTTGGAAAAAAGTTGGGTGATGATATACTAACGAAAATTTGATTAGAATGTGTTTTAAAAATTTTTAATTTGCTTTGAGATGAGTGCAATATTATGGATTTATAGTTGATTGATTATTCATATATTGTACATATTTCAAAGCAAATTTAGGCTTCGTTTGGAACAGCTGTTTTACTGTTTCTTAAAGTAATTTTCTAGTATAAAAACTGCTTTAAGTAGTAAGAAAGTCGTCCCAAATCAAACCTTAATGTTTTGAAAATCCATTATGAGCAAATTTCAGTCGGATTATCATGACCAAAATTTTCTCCTACTCATTTTATATTTTCATCTATTGATTAATTAACTATTTTTTTTATTGAATGAAACATGCATTATAAGAATGGTGGCAGAAGCATTTTGAGAATACAAGCTTAGTTTCAAAAGAAGCTTATGTGATAAAAAAACATAGAGTTTGCATGGTGAGTAACTATGTGAATATTTTCATAAGACTATTTCTTATGTAGCAGACGCATAAGAAATTAGTGTTACTCAGTAAGTACTGTTTCAGGATTAATCATTCTTGATATATGCAATGATCTGAACAGCAGGGATGACTTTATGGACTTTTCCAAGTTCACAAAATAAATTTTTTTGAGATTCTTTTTGACTTATTAGCTGTTTTGTAGTTACATGATTCCATTTTAATTGACAAGTTCAGTTTTTTTTTGGTGTGGGGATGTTGAGTATTTAAGCATAAATTTGATGTCTGAATTTTTTTCTTTTTTTATATTCTATTCTGCACGAGTGTAACTTTAGTAGTAATAGATTTAGTGCGGGGATTGTGACTTTGGGCGGTCAAGTCATTAATAAGAGTGCGTGGTTTAGATATCTTGAGTTTATTGTTCATAGTGATGGTGAAATACTGAAATAGATGGGGATACTATTAGTAGAATTCAAGTTGGATAGTTGAAGTAGAGTAATGCATCGGGCTTGTTGTGTGATAGAAAAGTACCCCTCAAACTTAAAGCGAAAATTCTATAAGATGGTGGTTAGACTTGCAATGTCTTATGGAGCAAAATGTTAGCCATTAAAATAGCAGCATAAAATTAAGTCTTACAAAGATGAGGATGCTTGGGTGGATGAGCAGCTTCACTCTTAGAGACGGAATGCGAAATGAGTATATACGTGAAAATGTTGGTGTAGTTCCAGTGGCAAATATGATTAGAGAGAGTCGCCTTAAATGGTTTGGACACAAAATGTTGGCCTTATGATGACCCGGTTGGAAGAATAGATGTAATGGATTTAATCTATATTAAGAAAAGGTAGAGATATACCTAAAAAGACCTGGTTAAAAATATTCAAAATGACATTTTTTTTTATTATATTTAAGTAAAAATTTGATTATTAATAGGATACAATGTAGAAAAATGATTCATATAGCTGATCATACGTAGTGAGATAAAATCCTGATGTTGTTGTTTTAATATTCTATTCTGGTGGTGGGATGGTGATTATTTTTTATCAAAACGCGGTGTCATTCTTAATTTTTTATGAAATTTTTTTGGAATGATTTTTGATAAATTATAATGTATGTGATTAGAATTCATGATCTTAGAGAAATGCCTCCTTTTTTAACCATTGGGCTGCTAATCTTTTAAAGCATTGGACTAACTGTGGCTCATTAGGCATCACCGAGTTTGGACAAAATAGCTTTGGTCTTAATATTCCATGATGCAGCTTAATGTTTTGGGAAATCCTGATTTTAATCTTCATTGTATTCCGTTGTTTGATTACAAAAACGAGCATCTAGTTGCATAATTTTACTCATAAATGATCAAACTAAGGAACTTTTATTAGGTCCGGTGTAAGGATGTAGAGGAACGTCTAATCGGAGGCAAAATCCCGCCAAAAAACTCGGTATTTGCTTGGTATTGCTAGGTATTATTTGAAAAAATGATGAATACCGCTCTGTGAAGACTAATACCGAGTTATACCGAGCAATACCGAGTTGTACTGAGTTTTTTCTAGGAAAAACTCGGTACAACTTTTGTATAACTCAGTATTGGGTCTTCACGTGATGGTATTCCTCGTTATTGTTTGGTATTGCTTGGTATTTATTCGGTATTTCTCATTTTTTGGCGCGATTTGGCCTCCGACCGGACGTTCCTCTACGTCCGGTCGGAGGACGTAATAATTGTTCCAAACTAAGGCTTCATTTAGGACGGTTTTTTTACTGTTTCTTAAAGCAGTTTTTTAATTAACAATTTTTAATTTTTGTATTAAAAAGTTGCTTTAAGAAAATGTAAGAAAGTCGTTTCAAACGAAGCCTAAATCAAATGTCATTGATCTAAGTACTCGTTGACCTTCATCTTTTAAGTGCTCTATCAAGAAATTCTTAGTAAAATTACCTCATCACTTTTTATTCCATCTTTCTATATGTGCACATTGGAATTTTACTATTTAAGTCTCTATGAAGGAAAAAATTTCTTGTTAAAATCTCTATGATTGATGTACTACTTCTATTAATTATTCATTAATGAAGTTTAATTTGGGGATTATTTGGGATGTGTAGCATTTTGTAAAGGTAATTTTGAAGCAATTGTGAAAAAGAAATTAAAAATTAAAAAAAAAAAAGAAAACAAAAAGAGAAATATGTATATAAGAATAGCTGTTTTCTAAGAACTATTATATAGTAACAATTTTATTTGTAAAATACTGTCTTTTAATCATAAAATTTTAAAAAAAAATTAGAAATTAGAAAGAAAGTAATAATCAAATAAAATTATGTTAGTGGTGATCTTTTTTTTAGACTTTTGAGTGAATTAAGATAAATTAAAATAAATATTATATATGTAGGTTTCGAACTTAAGACCTCTTAGTTAATAATTAAAATTGTCAACCAACAGATCTAGATCGGAGAATTGTTTACGCATCGGCTAGGAATATTTTCTTACTTTAATAAAATAGAAGATATAAATTTTACATTATGTGACTTTTTTCACTACATCAGCAAATCAATCAATAATATACTTACTACATATTTAATCCAATAAACTTTTGAGCAATTAAAAAAATGTATAAATGCATCATGTAGTTAGAGTAATTGTAATTAACTTAGGTTTTATCTTTTAAAGTAAATTTTTAATAAAAATTAATTTTTTCTATATAAAAAATTACTTTAGGAAGCATAAAAAAACGGTCTTCAATGAAGCCTTAAGACTTAAGAGAATTCCAATCTTTATAAAAATTTTGTGAAAAATTATTCCTACAGCTGCTTCCAACTCATCATCTTATTTTTCAAAAGCTAATCACTAAGGGGTTGTTGGAGTTTCTCTTTATTCTGTGCCTGTGGCCTCCATAACCTTTCAAATAATTTCTAAAAAGATAGACTTTTTTTCTGGAACCTTTTCTCAAAGCCTGCCTGCTTACACAGCTCCATGTGATGGATTCCAATTCTGATATGAGAATCATGAAAAATTATTTGATGCGGAGTATGCACCGTTCGCACAAGTACTGGATACCTAGTGATATCCAGCGGTACTCAGCAATACCGAGTGCCGGTATCTAGCCGGATGTAGTGCTTGTGCGGACGGTTCTCCCTGTCCGCACTCCGCATCTAATAATCTCAAAGTGACGGATCAGATGATTCTTCTTCTAGAAAATAAATTATATCAACATATTCTTATATAAATTATATTATAATATTTTCATGAAAATTATATTGAATTGATTTAAATGGTATTGATTTGTTTTGATATTAATATTACATATGAAAATTTTTTATTGTATTAATCTCAAAGTAAATTTATGATTGTTAAGCTCATTTATTTAGTAAGAAAATCAATTCATTGGAATTTAAGTATCTTTCATATTTGTTGTCAGGCCAAAATTAGAATTGCTAATTTGAGTTTTATTTGTACAACATCAACATCAAGTTTTTATCTCATTATGTGGATTAATTATTTTTGTGCGAATGTAGAATGCGGTTCGGAGACCATTCATAATCTGCCACGTCACCCCTGCACTCGGTGCCGCGACTCAGTATCGCTGATGTGGCGCATTCTGGTTGGTCTTTGGACGGCATTCTCCGTCCAGTCTCCACATAATAATTTCTCCACTGTGGGTTCAGCTACATGAATCATTTTTTCTTCGTTGTAGCGTTTTAAGTGTTTCATTAACACAAATATTTTAAGGAAATCATGTTATAACTATTCGATGAATTTTATGATGGTTGTCGACTATGTAATGCTACCTTCCACTTTTCTCATATAAAACTTCGAACCTGACAATAGCAGTGTACTAAGACGAAAAACTCTCTCAACCGTTACAAAATGTTTAGCATGCAACACTGTAATTGTGCATTTAAAATTATCCATGTAATTTTAAATTTTAAAAATTTTTATCAACCCACCTAAATGTTTTTTTCGCCAAAACAAAAAAATAAAAAATAATAAAATCCATTTGTGTGTCCAAATCAAGTCATTTAAGTATTCCCCGTATTCTTCTATCTTTATGTCTCTTCTAATGTCACAACTTCATGATTTATTTAAACTGTAATTTGAATAATTGAATCATAATATCCATCCTAATTTTTTAACTAAGATTAATTTATAATGATTATATTATTTTAATTAAATATTCATCTATAATACTATTTGTTCTTCATGAAGGAACCTTAATAACTCAAAAATTTTCCATTTCTTGGACAATATAGCAATCACATATAATTCTTTACAAATGCAAAAGCATTAAGAATGACAATCTTCTTATTTTAAATGTTATTATTTACTTCATATGGATGGAGAGGAACAACAGAAGGTTTAAGTCTGTTGTTTTATGTACCAATTCTCTGATTAAGAAAATCTCTAAAACAATCATTATCAAATTAATGGGATGGAAGAATGGCAATGAGATAAAGGAAGCATTGAATCTGGTTTACTACTGATGTGATTTCTTTTTATCTCTAACTCGTGAAGGAAGATGTTGCAGCTTGCTGGAATAAATGAAATAGTTGCTATGGGATTGCTAGTGTCAAAAATTTTTGATGCCCGTCCTTACTATGTCGATGACCATGATCTGATTGGATGTCTCTGTGGCAATCTAAAGCTCGACAAGCAGGTTATTGGGCCGTGGACAATGATGATCACCTGCTACCCACTTTCCGGACGGCCCACGGGCAACCAAAGATGGAAGGATCTTACGTTCTATGAAGCCAAATTTATTCTGAGTCCCTCCCTCCCAGCTTCACAGGCTTTTTAGTCTGTTCATTTCAGATAACATCTGGTCAAATTTTATGTTTTTATTATATGTTTTTACTATTTTTTCAAGTTCTATGATGTATCTTTTTTGTAGTTTTTAGTTATTTTTGTTGTTACGTGTGAACTTTTATGTTTCTATTTCTGACTCTGTAATTCTTTTTTGTTATCAATAAATTGGGCTATGCCCTCAATTTTTTCCCAAAAAATAAAAAAAAATAATACTCTAAAAAACATTAAATATGATCTAAATGTCATTTTCAGATTTCTGATAAAAAATGGTGACATTTTGTTCTTAATAAAATAATATTTCGAGAAAGATATAATGCTGCCGAAAAATATTATCTTGTATTAAAATAATATATTTAAATTTGTACATAAATTATTAAAAAAAAAAAGAGCTAATGGAAATTCTTAAGCATATTATTAACAATATAATTACTTAATTAGCTAATAAGCTCTAATTAAATATTTTAAACATTTAGGCCGCTTAAGATATTAAACTCACATGCATCACGAAAAAAAACGACGCTGCGTGGTCCCCACCAACAAGGCATGTGGGGCCCACGCATGAGGAGAACAGCCTGGCTCGGTGGAAGCAGCGCATATGCGCTCTCACATGTATGGGGCCCACATTTCCCGCCACCTCAGCCTTCCTCTTCGTATAAGATGCCCTAATCACCGTCCATCTTTTAATGCTCGAATCTCACTCCAAATTTCATTTTCAATACCTCATAGGATTCTCTCTCTCTCTCTCTTCCACATTCAAAACCCTAGCTAAGCACTACGCATTGCTTTCTTCGACGAAACCCTAGGCATCTACGCTCTATTCCTTCCCCTATCGAAGCGGAAAGAGATCGATCAATCAATCGATCCAAGCGCGACTCTTGACGCAGGGGATGGCGGGGATCCCGAGTTTCTCTTTCGTCGCTCTGGCCATTGCGGCCTTCATGACCAGCTTCGTCTTGCGGGCCGCTCAAGCGCAGGCTCCTGCGCCTGCTCCGACCAGCGACGGTCAGTTCTTTCTATCTGGACCTCTGATCTTTGGTCTGCCTCATTTGTTCGCACTTTTTTTTTAATCAATTTCTTTAGAATCGATTATTTCGTATTTGTAGGAACTTCAATCGATCAAGGAATCGCATACATCCTGATGCTAGTTGCACTGATTCTCACCTACCTCATTCACCCATTGGATGCTTCCTCTTCCTACAGGCTGTTCTAAATCTTCCATGAATCATTTGATGTTTGGGTATTGAAGAAATGAGTTGATGGTAGAGGTTATATGATGCTTGTGTAAAGTTGATTGTATTTTTCATTGTTTGGGGTTTGAACTTCTTGCTGATTTTTTTTTTTTTTTTGCTAATGGAGGCTACTTTTCTTTGTTCTCTGTGAAATTCTTGTAGCTTAATTTGAAGTGTTGTTGTACTCTTATCCTTCTCATGTTAACCCTTTTTTTTTTTCATGTTAACCCTGTTAAAGATTTGCTTTTGTCATAGAGGCTGCTAGGATTTTTTTTTAAACATATTTAATTTTTTTGTTTTTAAAAATTATCCAAGCTATTTTAAAATATTTTTTTATGTATTCCTGAAATTAAAAATATAGCCTGATGCGATGTTCAATGAAAATAAAAAACTATACTTATTGATATCAAATATATTTATATGTTGCTTTAAATATATAAATTGTTGCGTCCTGGAGTATTTGCGACGATAGAGAAATATAAATTTTAACGTCTGAGCGTTGTACGAAAATTTGGCACACAATCAAATAAGAGTGTAGCATTCATATGAGACACTAGAATTTTTAAGTGAAAAACTCTTGAAAGGGAAAAATCATGGGGTCTAGTTCAGTTTGAATGAATCCACTAGTATTTGTAGTTGATTACAAATAATATCCTTCCTTAGGGGGAAGGCCTTGACTCTATGTACATCATATGCAGTACATTACATGGTGAGAATACAAAGAGATATTGTTGACGTGTTCATTTGGTCAGATGGATTGTAGTCAATGGACAACGTAAGTCGGATGGACTGTAGTAGGCAGGCGATGGAGGTCAGAAGGATTGTAGTCGATTGGCGGTAAGTCAGAAAGATCTTAGTCGGCAGGCAACGGAGGTTGGAAGGACTGTAGTCGGTGGGCAACGTAAGTCAGAAAGACCGTAGTCGGTCGGTGACGGAGGTCGGAAGAACTGTTGTCTGATGATGGAGATTAGAAGGATGACGTCAAGTAGAAGTTCATCTATGGGTAGAAATCCCACATTGGATAGTTATCCAGTGAAAATCCAACACGGAGCAGAGTCTAATGTCATGTAGAAATATAGTGACGACCAGAGGTCCATCATTGGGTAGAAGTCTGAATTTAGTTGGTGGCCGGGGAGAACTCCGGCGTTAGATGATATTTGGGCAAAACTCTGGCGCCATCGGGCAGAGTTCCGACATCACTGGAAAGTCGGGCGGAATTTTGGCATCACTTGAAAGTCGGGTGGAATTCCGGGGTCACTTGGAAGTCGGGCAGAATTCTGGCGTCATTCGGAAGTCAGGCAGAATTCCCGCGGTGGTGGTCGAGGAGTTTCTTCCCTCCTAATTGTCTCGTCTTCCTTCTCTTCTTGCTTGGGTCCCTCTCAAGATAAATGAGGGACTATTTATAGTTTTTTGAGGATGACATGACCCTTAAATAGGAGGAGGATCAAGGGCAAATGTGGAGTGGTTAGGATAGACGACTGATATGGAATTCTTTGATCGGGAACCGTTCTTCAAACAATTGAAGGTCTTAATGATATTGGAATTCATCGATCTTGGGCTAGTTTGGATTCCTCTCGTCAACCCGCTCGATTCGACTATAAGCATGTCACGTTTGGAAATCGTTTGGTAATCCAAATTGTGATTCGAACCTTCCAACAACGCTTCGGGTCCTTGATTTGGACTCATTTGGGCTCGAATTGAGTTGAATTTGATGTCGGTATGTTCGTATTTCCGAGACGCTTAGTTCGACTGTAAGTTTGCTGAAATCGGAGTACATGTGATCCCATATTTAATTTTTGAAATTTCCGGCTTGATTTTGCCTCCAGATTCATGCCTGATCAAGATAATTTTTTATGATATCTCATAAATAAAAAACATTATTAAAACTAGAAAGGAATTCGAAACTTCCCTATAGTTTTTAGTGGAGAAATTTTATGAACCATCCTCTTAATAGTCGTAATTAGTTATAACACCGTTAAAAAAAAATTTAATTTAGACATCCGCTGGCGGTGCAAACGACCGGTCGTTGACGTGGAGTCAGTCGCGGGCGGTCTGATTTAAGGAAAAAAATAAACATAAGCGGCGTGTAAACACTAAACACTTGCAATTCTGCACTCTATTTTAAAAAAATAAAAAAATTTAAGAGGTGAAATATAGTTATGTTATATATTTTGTATGGCATCAAAATTTAATATTACATATGTTCTATTTATTTTTAGATTATTTGACTATTTATTTAAAATTGAAAAAATTTGAATAAATGTTATGTTAAGGTTAATTTATTAATTAGTTGTTTTTTTAATTGGAAAATTTAAATGGCAAAGTTTTAAACTTTATCTAATATTAAATTATTTAATTTAATTCGGCATTTAAAAAAATTAAGAGTAATCAAAGTCATCCGTTTAACTATTTTTTTTTTTTTTGGACATTTAGGCCATTTAAGGCAAACTCACACACACAACGCATACACAGAGACTCGAACCTTAGACCTCTTAGTTGAAAGTCTTAGCTCTCAACCAATAGGCCAAGGAGAGTTGTGTGTACATAATTGTTGATTAATTGAAATTTATGCCCCCTCTAATAGTCCAAATAATATAGGATTTTATTATCATCTAAAAACTTTTTTTTTTTTTTTGCATGTGATCCATCTTTTGAAATAAGCATCACTAGCATTAATTAAATTTCAATCAAAAGAATTTCATAAAAAAATAAAAAATATATTCTTCGAAGCGATTAGAGAAGAGTTTGATGAACTGTTCATTGCATGATTTATTTGGGAAATGCAGTATCTCAAAAGGATGTAAGAGATTGTGATGGTTAAAATTCAAAAGGGAAATAAATGATGCGAGTAAAGTTTAAGAAGGTGAATATAATACATAATCTAAAAAATTTTGATCAGAACAACCTCTTCCAATTTTTCCACACCTATACTTAGGCAAAGCATCCCATTTAAATACCTGAAGGGCCATAATTTAGTGGAGATATCCTTACCCAAATTTACAGAGAATGAAGTTTATAGCCATCCTATTTATTATTTTGAAATAAGTATCGGCTGTGGCTTTGATTGGGGCAGCTTTTTTTGCTGCTTTTTAAAATGACTTTTTAGTACAAAAATTTCTAATTCACGAAATTTTTTTATTAAAAAGCTGTTTTAAAAAGACAACAAAAAAAAAAAATTGTCTCAAATGAAACCTAAATAATCAAAACTTAGTATTGATAGCCGCCATCTCAACAAAATTTGCTCCAATTTGACATCAAAGAGGAATGATAAAAAAATCTAGAATCAATAGGAGAATCTGCTCTACATTTAACACATAGGCTTTCTTTAAGAGAGCTTTCTTAGACCATCTCCAACCATTCGACCAACAGCCGAATGGAGGCCCTCAAACGTCGCAACCGAACGCCATTTGATCGCAGTTGAACAGTGCAACGTCAATATTGGCGTCGCACTGTACACTTGCGCCATTTCTTTCTCTCTACCGAACTCGTCTGAGAAAGGCGCGAAAGAAACGAGCGATGATTTGGGGGCAAAATGGCATTCCACTGGAGATGAATCACAACACTTTTTGATTTAACTGCATTTTGCAGTGAAAAATGAGAGTTTCGGTTGGAGATGCCCTTACTGCTTTCCAAAACAGCTTTCTAGTATAAAAAAATTTTAAACTAAAAAGTTGTGTAAGAAAGCATCAAAAAAGCTGTCCCAAACAAAATCATAATCTATCCATGCATAACATTCTTGGTATAGCTGTCAACTAAATATGAAATAATAATAGCTGAAAGGCCAAGGAAAACAAGGGGAAAAATCTTAAACCTCAAATGCCTCCCCCTCTCAATTTAATCCTCAGGAAAGATATTTTAAAAGTTTAATCACCAAATAAATAAATAAAAAGAACTTCTCGTAAATTAAGGTTTCAGTGTTTACCCTTACTTATTTGGTCTTCCTCAGCACGGTTCTGTTCAGCCAGAGAGAATTTCTTCACTTTCTGGGGAATATAGAACAACAAGAATGTTAATTAAAGAGTATACATCAAGAATAATGAGGAATTTACCATGATCTGTTAAACAAACAGTATTTGTGTTCTCATAATCTGTAAGTGCTTATTCACATTTGCCAAACACTGTAGGAGCAATGCTACAGTATTTTTCTTTAAACAATGCAGATAAGATTTTATTAATAAAGAAATAAACTATACACAAAAAATGAAATATTATCCAAAGTATATTTAGGGGTTGGCTTCATGAATATTCCATTCCTCTCAAGCACTACATGAAAGTTTTTATTTTTATTCTAAAATATATTCTTCTTAAAAAATTGAAGTCTCAAAAAATTCTGAATTATTTATTTTTTTATGAATATTCCTCCATTACTTTTTATTACTATTAAAATAAAAATTCATGTTGTTTATTTGATATTTCCTAAACCCATGGCATGCTATTAGGAAGGTTTTACTTATACAAGCAAAGACTTCGAGGCATTTTTTAGAATGAATAGTGGCTGGATTATTAATCTACAGCATTGATTTTGAATTTCCAAACCTTTTTCCTTCACTCAGATGCACATCATCCAACAAAAGCTAAGCCTACATATTTAATTTTTAAACTCCTCAACAAGAAAAAGGACAATGGTAGAAACTAGCAAATGAAACTAGAAACAAATTTACATTAATTCACATAAAGAGGGAATAAGCCGTCAATCAAAACTGTCCGCAATTTTGAAACAAAAAAGTATGAAAATAAATCTTAATGTTCAGCTTTGAACAACATCTATAAGACATATCAACTGTAAAGTTGACATCATATCGGTGATTGAAGAAAAAGGAAATACGGAATGACATTTTAGGCTTTATTTGGGACGACTTTATTCTTGCTTCTTAAAACAATTTTTTAGTACAAAAATTGAATTTTTTGTACTAGAAAGCTGCTTTAAGAAGCATTAAAAAAACCGTCCCAAACGAAGCCTTAGAGAAGTAACATCCAGAAAGCAGAGGTTGAATTGCAAAGGCTAATTTAGATTCAAAGAAAATAATAATTATTAAATAATAAAGGTGGGCAAAAAATGTGCATGGCATCTTCATTCAGAACTGCTAGATTTTGTATGCTACATCTATAAAAATCAGTCATAAAAAGAGAGAGACAATAATAATAGACCAAGCGGGAAGAAAAACGAGCATCATCATCACCATGATAACCAGCCATAACATAGTTATTAGAGGCCAATTTTATGAACTTTCATTCAACATTCATTTATGTTGAATGTTGTATCAGATTTTTAATCTATTATGCATAAATCTTTGTAACAACTTTCTTGGAGTCATCTTTGCTCTTATCTTTTTTGATAATTTTATCAACACGTAGTACATGTTCTAAATACTCTGTTTATTTTTCATTACCTTATCATCAATAATGCTATTCCTAAATCTATACTTCCTAGTTTTACACCTTAGCATTCACATGTCTAGCACACTCAGGCTATTAGCTTGTTATTGACTTTCTCACTACTCAACCTTTGGACCCATACATATTATCTATTTAATTATAGTTTTATAAATTTTCTTTTAAATATCATCACATATAATATTTAAGGGGGACTTACTATTTTAAAAATTCATCTTTAACTCCAGATATGACATCCTCATCTAAAGCCCAATTCTTTTGAATATGAGACCCAATCATCTAGGAGGCTCTCAAAAATTTAATTTAGCCCAAATGTAAATGAATTGAGTAAAAATGAGGCTTAACTATGCCCATTAAGATCAATAAGCTTCATACAAGCTTAAAATATAAGGAGACATGATATCAAGGTGTGATCTTAATTGATGATAAATGGGTTTAAAAATAAGAAGATTATACATAATTTTCATAAAAATAATTAGGAATTTAAATTTGAAGTTTATTTCAACATTTGAATAAATCAAAACCATCGCAGCAATTCAAGTAGTTTTTATGTAAATCAAAAGTAACTCCATGAGTCAAGCTAAATGAGGATGATCATAAGAAGGGGGGTGAGAGAAGATTTTTAGGTATACCTCTACCTTTTTAACATAGGTCAAATTTAATACTACTACTCTCCTAACAGGGTTATCGGAAGGCCACCGTTTTACATGACCAAACTATCTAAGGCGACCCTCTCTAATCTTATTTGTCACTGGAACTACTCCAACCTTTTCATAGATATGCTCATTTCATATCATGTCTCTAAGAGTAAATCCAATCATTCACCTGAGCATCCTCATCACAGCAACACTTAATATTATGCTTCTCTTTTAATGACCAAAATTCTATGCCATAAAGCATTGTAGGTCTCACCATCATCTTATAAAATTTTTTCCTTAAGTTTGACTACTACTTTTCTATCACACAACAAACCGGAAGCATTCCTCCTCTTCAACCATCCAACTTGCATTCTACTAATAATATCATCATCTATTTCACCATCACTCTGAACAATAGACCCAAGATATCTAAAACGAGTACACTTATTAAAGACTTGATCGCTCAAAGTCACAAACCCCCCGCTAGATCTATTACTACTAAAATGACACTCCATGTATTTGGTTTTAGATCCATTCAAACAAAAACCTTTAGACTTTAAGGCTGACCTCCATAATTCGAGTTTACCTTCAACTCCCTCTCTATTCTTATCAACAAGAAAAATATCATCAGCAAAAAGCATACACCAAGGTACATTCTCTTGCAAATGTCTAGTGAAAACATCCATGACTAAAGCAAAAAAGATAAGTACTTAAGGCTAATGCTTGTGTAATCCAATTAAAATAGGAAAATACTTGGTCAAACCACCTTGTGTTGGAACACAACAACTCATGTATGCATATCCCTAATGACTTGAATATAAGCATTATTAACCCTTTCTTTTCAAGAACTCTCCATAGCACTTCTCTTGGAACTTTATTATATGTTTTCTCTAAATCAATAAATATCATTTGTATCCTCCTTATTCTCTCTAAACTTCTCCATCAACCCTCTCAATAAATGAATAGCTTCCATAGTATACCTACCCGACATGAATTCAAATTGATTTTGAGAAACATCAATATCATGTCGTAACCTATGTCTGTAACTCTCTCTCAATGTTTTAAAGTATGACACATCAATTTAATTCCTCTATAATTCGCACAATCTTGTGCATCACCTTTATTCTTAAAAATAGGAATCAATACGCTCACTCTCCACTCATCTGGCATCTTTTTAGTCTTCAAAATAATATTAAAAAAGTTTAGTGAGTCAAGAAATTCCTTTATCTCCTAAGCATTTCCACATATCTATTGGAATATCATCAGGTTCACTAATTTTTTCACGTTTCATTTTCTTGAAACTCCAAGCATATCCTTTGCAACATTCTTAATATTACTAGTTACTTCTTCCCACATAACATTCGCTTCCTCATGCACAGACAAAATTTTAAGATCTAAAATCTTATTCTCAAAAATATTTTTGTTAGTGTTCTTTAAATGCCCCCGTCTAATCTTAGAACAACGTTTTACTATATTTTTCATATTTTGCCCTTTCATATTAAAGTCCAAAACTAATAAGCAATGTTGGGTACATAAACTTTCACTTGGAATAACTTTATAATCTTTGCAATCTAAATGATTTATTTTTTTATAAGAAAATAATCAATCTAAATTTTATTATATCCATTCTTATAAGTAACGAGATGCTCATCTCTTTTCATAAATAAGGTATTAGCAATTACAAAATCATAAGATAGAACAAAATCTAATATAGTTTTACCACCTTCATTAATCATTCCAAACTCATAGCCACCATAAATACTTTTAAAATCATCTACCTCTCTACCAACATGTTTATTTAAATCTCCTCCAATAAAAACTCTTTTTTCAAGAGGTATCTTTTGAATTAATTTTTCTAAGTCATTCCAAATTTTAATTTTAAACACATCCAAATATATTTGAGAAACATAAGCACTTATAATATTAATAATCTTAGCATCAACAATAATCTTCATAATAATAATTATATCTATAATTCTATCAATTTTTATAATATTCTCCTTCAAACTCTTAACTATAATCACATCTACACTATTTATAATATGACTTCTATCAAAATATCAAGATTTAAATACTAAACTATTAATCTCCTTAGCCTTTTTTCCAACCGATTTAGTTTCCTGAATGCATGAAATATTTATCTTCCTATGAATTATAATATCAATTAATTCCATTAATTTGCCGGTAAGAGAAACTATATTTCAAGATCTTATCCGAATTCTAGTTTCATGAACTTGCCACATCTGTCCATAATATGGGAACTATTTCAAACTGCACCCGGGTGCCGATGCAACGACCCTTGCACACTTATCACTATATTCAGGCCATACAACGCATTGTTTCAGGGAACGCCCTAGCATTAGCACAATGTATTAAAGCAGACATGTCATGATTATTCGACAAGTTTTACGCTGGCTATCGATTACCTAACGCAACCCTCCACTTTTCTCATACAGAACTTGGGACCTGGCAATGGCAGTGTTTGACCTAAATCTAATAAAGAAATATCATTTATAATATTTTTCTAACCAAGTTTTTTTATATCTCTTTCTATATTAGATTTAAATGAGAATTTGATTCTTAACATGATACAATGGAGAAAAAAGATTCATATAGTCGACCCCACATAGTGGGATAAAAGCTTGTTGTTATTATTTAAACATGGTTACCTATTATTTATTTGTTATCATAGTTCTTGTGGCTGGATAATGTGGTACAGACATTGGTGATGTTGCATTAATTTTTTATTCATTAAAAAAAAATTTGCCAATTTTTGGCCTCGTACAAGTTGCAATCAAAATCACATTTTCTTAGGATATGTCAACGTGAGCATCGCCTTGACCCTTGGAAAACGGGTGATTTCCCTTTTTGTGCAATCATAATGCACAAAATATATGCCACATAACGAAAGCATTCGAGTCATGAAGACATATAGAACCTCAAAATACATA